ATTATTACATGCAATTATTATATAAAAACAATACAACAATTGTAGTTGTTTATGTTTCTGTTGTAACTGTTGTTGACTTGCGTCAAATAAATATTTTTCTTTTTTTATCTTGCTTCATTCACTTTTTTATTTCGTCTCATGCATACATGCCGGTCTCAAAGACTAGAATCCTCGGTCAAACATGACCTCTAAATCACAATTAATTCGATTTATTTTACTGAACTAAGTGTCATCTTGCGAAAGTCCATATCACTAGTTACTTGATTAAAATTATTTTGTTTAATTCTACTACCATTAATATGTGTGTGAATGGCCACATATTTATTACTATTTACATTTATTATTGTGATTTATATAACCTTAATAACTCATTCATTTAGATAGATAGATGACCTTTATTACCATTATTAAGAAAATAAAAAATTAAAACAACAAAAAGAAAAAAAGAACAATTAATGTTGCTGGTAATAGGAGCCGCCTCAGCTGTTGCCATATATGTACAGCTCCAGCGAGATGTACCTATATAGCGCTGATTTTCAGGCGCCCCCTTAACTCCTTTACCTTTAGCATGCGTGCGGGTCGCCAATACCTATTTCTGGGATGGGAGACTCAACACGCTTACCAACAAATACATAAAACATTACAACAAATACACAAAACATTACAACCAAAAAGAAACCGAAAAGAACAAACTCTGAATAAATTATCGCACCTCACAATGACAGCATCATAAAAAAATAAAAAAAAAAGAACGTGAAGCGTCAGTTTCTCGTATTATATTTATATATACGTAATATATTTAAGTACTATTCCACTGTAGAGCGAAAAAGGTTTGTCAGTAATAGTCTACCAGCCTAACAATATACTTTATCAGGGCGATGTTCACATAATTCCTCCTGGAAACTGTCGTGGTTAATTATTATAGAATTCATCACGATAGGCTAATTGACTTATTTCGCACCTATTCATGTTTCGCTGGTGCCTCGCTACTACTATTAGTATAAATAAGATGGCATATAGCAGATGGGATAACTACTTCATTATCATCCATTAAAGAAAGTAAAATAAAAAATATTTTTCTTACTCTATTACTGCTCTCCAACCAAAGGTTGCCTGAAAGAGACCACTTTCAGCGATAAGACCACAATATATATCTATTTAATCAAATAATAGTTTCTATTTAATTACATGTAAATAAATATGCGTCATATTCATATCTTTGTTTATGTAATAATCTACTAGTTTCTATTTACACTGGAGTACTAAATAGAATATTTTAATTAACTAGGATAAATGTAGTGTTTTTTTTAATGAGTGAAAATGGAATGGTAATCCCGCCTGCGCTAACGCGATACGCTGGCGGAACACCAGTGAAAGGTGATAGATGAGAATGAAAACAGACCAGTTAGCCCATCATAATGAATTCATCAGGAATTAACCATGATAGTTTCCAGGGGGAACCGCGAGGAGGTCGACCTGGTTGGGTATATTGCTAGCAATGAGATTCTCAGTCTCCATTACTAACAATCCCTTTCCGCCCCAATAAATGTAGTGTACCCTATGTTCTTCTCCACCTCAAATATTGCCGTGCATTGTATATTGAATTTTACATTACGACTAATTATGGTACTAATGAGCCAACAAGAAACAAACATACTTTATAATATTGGTAGGTTTTTAAAATACCAATAAGTCACTTCTAGTCAACTACTTATACATATGTAGGTAGTCTATGGCCCGCGAAATTTCGCGGCACACCCGCTGCGTCGCATCGCAGCGATGGCGGCGGCGCGTTCCGAATCACCGCTCAATCTAAATTATTGTGCAAGTTGCGAACTAATCTTAATCAAAACAGCACGGGCGCGCTCAACTTTTTCAATAAAACAAGCTTATCTGACAGCTTGCAAATAAGCATATAACCATATAAATAATTATATTTTAATTAAACATATTTTATGGAGAGCTAGATAAATAATATCGTCATAGTCGTAGAATACTGACGAATCTTTATATGTAATCTTTGTCAGATCCGTCAGTATTCTACGACTATGACGATATGACCGGTCTGACTGACTTGGCGACTGACTGACTTACGATACATTTACGAAGCGAGTTGGCAACCTAATGGTGCGTTTCAACTCTGTATAGCCTCTTATTGCCTCTTTACTCGACAAATCATGGTCAACACACGTAATACATTTTTTTCGATAAAAATTTTCCATTATATAATCCGTGTGGTACTAAAGAACATTTTTCATGGGTTGTGGATTTTTTTAATGGGTTATAATGGAATGATAACCCTGCCAGCGCTATCGGTATACACTGGCGGGGCATCAGTGAGTGATGATAGGAGACGGTGTAGTAGGTCAGTTAGCCCATCATGACGAATTCGATAAGAATTAGCCACGATGGTTTCCAGGGGGAATCACGTGGAGGTCGACCTGGCAGGGTATATTGCTAGTAATAGGACTGGTAGTTCGCATTACTAACAATCCCTTCCTTCCCCAGGTGACCTCGTCACCCGGTAATGGGTGAAAATGGAATGGTAACATCGCCAGCACTATCGGTATACGCAGGCACCAGCGAGAAGTGATAGAATGAAATCAGATCAGCTAATCCATCGTGACGAATTCCACAAGAATTAATCAGGATGGTTTCCAAAGGTTACCACTTACCATCAGGTGGACCGTCAGCTTTTTTGCCATTCTAAGTTGTATAAAAAAAAAGATCAACCTGACAGAGTAATATCGCTAGTAATGGGGCTGCCAGACCCCATAACTAACAATCCCTTTCCCTCGAGAGAGAAGGGGTTGACTGGTAACCATACTCGCTCTAGGAACTCTGATAGCCCAAGATATGTTATTCACTTATGTAGGTACTATCTACACGGACCTTAAGCGCCTAAGTGCGCCCCAAAAGCAATGCATCAGTAATGAATCACAAGAAATTCAACGTTGTACTTTCCCGACTCTGAACAGGAGCACTTTCTGCCAAAAGCAACAGCCTGTCGGATCACTTGCCACCACGAGTGACACTATTAGGACTCGCTTGATACGGCCCTATGTACTTTTTGCCACTAATAAAAAGCACCTAAACTGCTACACATATATGGAATAATTTAAGTATACATACATAAATACATATCTGTCACGCCTGTCTCCCTAATGGGTAGGCATAAACAATGGAAAGCCAAATGCTTTGATTCAAACAAACCTCTTTCGCTTCTTCCACATTCATCAATATTTTCATACACGCTCGCCGGTTACGGGTAGATTTAATTTAATTTAAGTATGTATTAGTAATTTAAAATATACACATATATTCACATTGTTATATGTATGCATATCCCTATATGTATATAAATAATGAACAGAGTTTTATGTCTTTAATCAAACTGTTTAAATAACTCCTCTCCATCCAAAGGTTGCCTGGAAGAGATCGCTCTTAGCGATAAGGTCGCCCATTGTTTTCTCAGTGTAATATTTTCTTGTAATTGTTTATATTTATAATAAGTTTACTATTGTAATCTTATGGAGGAAACAATAAAGAGTATCTATCTATCTATCAATTCCAAAACACCTACAGAATGTACATAGCGAGACGAAGCCAAGCTACTCATATCTAATGGGGAAACTTTTATCTCTGCGTCTAATGACGGCTGGTTATTAGAGCTGCACAGGAGATTAAATGTGGATACAATCTTATAGATGGCTGACAATTATCGAAGTAGAATTTGTATTTTAATAATTAATATATGCGTTATGATTCGTAAGTCAATTTTTTTTTATACGACTTAGAATGGCAAACAAGCTGACGGCCCACCTGATGGAAATGGACATGATACTGTTTCGCCCATGATAATTGTTGCCATTCCTGAGGACTCAGGTGTTATTCCTCTGTCCCTGTAAATTCACGCAACTAAAGTCAATATGGATACGTACGTGTAATTGTTTATCTACAACAACTTTCAATTCTTTATCGCATAATTACATTTTTGTTTTACCGAAGGTTGACTGGGAGAGAATGCTGTATAGCATTAAGTCCGCCTTTTGTACCAGACACTATCAGGTCGACTTCCATACGATTCCTTCTGCAATCCATCTTAATTAATTTTTGTGGAGACATGATAGAGCACTGACCTTTTTTTTTTTATACCACTGAGGTGGCAAACAAGCATACGGCCCACCTGATGGTAAGTGGTTACCGTAGCCTATGAACACCTGCAATACCAGAGGTATTACGCGTACGTTGCCGACCCTGAAGAAACCTCTTGACCTGCTTTTAGCCTCACCTATCATCCCTCACAGATGCCCCGCCAGCGTATAGCTGTTGGCATAAGCGGTGTTACCATTCCATTATTAATTCAGCCGTTAACTGTCCACTGCTGGGAGTTGCCATGCTTGGTAGTAGGTTAATGCAGGGACTATCAGTCGCCTCTTACGACACCTACAGGAAAGGGGTAGCCAATTCTATGCTGGAGCACACAAGGCGTACCAGAGTGAGGGGGGATTGGTAGTATTGCAGACTATCAGTCGATATCCACGTGGTCCCCCCTGGAAACTATCGTGCTGAATTCCAGGTGATCCAGGTGAATCATCACGATGGGCTAACTGGCCTGCCCTTTCATCCTCACTTATCCACCCCTCACTGGTACCGGTACCCCGCCAGCGTATACCGTTAGCGCAGGCGGGGTTTCTATCCATTATCATCCATTGAAAAAAAAAACACACGGAGTACCATTCCATTATCATCTATCAAAAAAGCCCTTACTGGTGCCCCGCCAGCATATACCGTTAACGCAGGCGGGATTACCGTTGAAATGAAATGAAATGAAATTGAAATGAAATGAAATGATTTTTTTTTTTAAATGAAATGAAATTTATTTTATTTACGTTCCATATCACCCATCAAAAAAAAATTCATAACAAACTTTCACATTTATAATATTATTAGTAAGGATTAATTAGACTTAAAGGGAACAGAATAAAACCTTTGATATCCCAAATTTTTTTATTTTTTATTTCAACAATAAATAAAAACAAATTCAAATATAAAAATAGCAACAAAATATACAAACAAATATTTTTATGCACTTATCAGCTAGCACTTCATTTCTTACAATAATATAAAATGGTATTAGCGAATCCGATTGACTATGGTTTTTCAAAATGGCGACTTCAAATAGTATTATGGCGGTCATAGACACAGGCATACATAAAAATAAATGCCGCGAAAATATAGTTATTTATTAATAAACTATTTATTAATTGCTATCAACCTTGTATACTAAATATAATAAGGTAATATTTTTGGAAATTCTTTAATTTTTTTTTTATCGACATAATTTCAAGAACCTAGAATTGAAAATTAGATTAAATTAAGCTACATTGCACGTAATTTCGCTTCAAAACGGACACGCAAAGTTTGAACAATTGCGACATTTATTTAGTACCATATTTCTGGCCATGACCATAGACTATCTCTAAATATTTATACTATTTTCGCCAATAAAAAGCAAACAATTTAAAACTACTAAACAAGAAACAATAAGCATTAGGATAGAAACAATAAGGATTCTCTAATCTTATTTATCTAATATTTGTCAAATATAAAAAAAAAATCATGATAATTAAATTATGACATGAAATCTGTTTGAAATCTGTTTGAATTCTGTCGGTTGAGTCAAACTCATCCAACAAGCTGCAATGCAATATGGAAAACAATGGAATCAATTCATCAAATATAATATAAAATATAATATATATATATATATATATATATATATATATATATATATATATATATATATATATATATATATATATATATATATATATATATATATATATATATTGTTTTTCAAAGTCCTCTACCCAAAGGTTGTCTGGAAGAGATTGCTTAGCGATAAGGCCGCCTTTTGTATCACTTCTCAATAAAGTTAACTGTATTTACTATTTTGTAAATGGTGCGATAAAATGTAAAATAACTAAATAATTAAATATTAATATCACGTTGCAAATCATTAAAGCGGCCATTTTGGAAACCTAAATCTGACGTCACAATTCAAATCTCTGTATAAAATCTTCGTGGAATTATTACACATAAATATAAAGAACCATTAAAAATTAACAACACACTTTACTACCAGCACACACATCTCTAAAATCAAGCCTCCAGCATTAATTTAAGCTTAATTTTTATTTCTATGCTAAGGTAACTCTTTGTTTTTGCATCTGTGCCTCTAGCAGTTTTTGCTCAGGAGATAGGGTCTCGCCTCTGAATCTTTTGTATCTGTGGAAGGGGATAATAACGTGTATTACATAAAAAAAAAAAACTTTGGACTATAAAAAAATAAAATTACACTGATTTTCATTATAATTAGACATAGAATCGTAACTATATATTAATTTTAAGTGTCTGATATACTACCATACTTTATAATTTGAAAAAAAAAATTATGGTTCCAATAAATAGATTATTAAATACATTAAATATTAAATACATTTAGCCTGTTGTGCGTATGAGTCATAGCTAGTATAGCCAGCTCATATGCAGCCCAGGAGCACAGAAGCTTCCTGGGGTCTTCATGGGTCTCATAGAACGATCTCATTGTTCCGAGGATTTCTAAACGTTGAGGGGCCACAGCTTCACATTACAAGATTATGTGTTTAATCGTTATAGACTCATTATGTATTAGAGACTTATTTGATATAGGTAGATGGATACAATTTAATTTATTTTAATCCATTTCTGACAGATAACGTACAAATATTGATGTCTAACAAACAGCAAAGATATGCACACTAGCGAATTAACAATTTTATTATTATTGACAAATTAATTAAATAAAAATAAATAAATAAAAAAAACATTCATTTTCTATAACGTAAATAAATGAAAACTCTTAGTTTGTTCAAAGAAAGACTGAATAACAAGAAATAAACTATAATTTTGAAAAAAAAATTAAGTGGATTGTACTCACATCATGTCATAGAACAGTCTCTGCTCTTTGGAAAGTGAGGGCTTCGTTTCCTGTAAGGCACTCTTTATGTCTTCATTTAACACCACCACTGACTTCATATCCTTTTCATCAGTATTGTCCTGGGAATAAGGGTTTTTTTTATACAACTTAGAATGGTAAAGAAACTGACGGCACACTTGATGGAAAGTAGTAACCGTCGCCTATAGACATGAGCAGTATCATGGACATAACCATAACAGAGTATACTGTTATGTCCATGATACCCCCCATGCGTTGCCATTCCTGAGGACTCTGGTGTTATTCCTCTGTACCCTGTAAATTCACGCCATTTTATTTTCTAATCATAATATAGGATGGACGATCCCCCATTAGATGGAGCAATAACCTGGGTCAAAAGATAACGTACACTTACTTATCATCATCATACCAGCCTTTAACTGTCCACTGCTGAACATAAGCCTCCCCATTGGGGGGTTTTGCCAGTAGTTGGCACGCTTAGCAGGCGGATTGGCAACCGCAGTCAGGCTTTAGAGATATTTTAAGAAGGACACTGCTGCCCGTCTCTCGCTCTCCGTTAGTCGTCTCTTACAACACCCACAAGAAAGGAAGAGGTGGCCTATCTATGCCGCGACCGCACGGCTTACTTACTTATACATTTATAATATTAGTAAGGATTAAATGTCATCATTGGAGTACTTACCAATTGCTTTTCTAGTCTCGTCAACTGTGCAGTCACTAATAAGGACTTCAAATCAGCGGGCGAGTAGCCGTCAGTGAGTTCAGCCAACTCCCGAAGGTCCACTTCCTTGTTCACTGTTACACTCTTTGTCAGGATTTTGAGCACCTCATAGCGGCCATCCTAGGTAGATAAAAAGGTACAACAATGTAAGAACATAGAGTATTGGAAAATAGATCTTAATGTGAGAAGAAGTTTGGCCCTGATTTTTTTTTATGTTTATAAGTAGCCCAGACAAGAGGATACTGTTAACTAAGAAGAGATAATATAAACCTTGACTTAAAATTTCACGTGTAGATTCTAAATGGATAAAAAATAATGGTAACCCAACCAGCAACATTAGTTTGTTCTGCTGGGCTTGATACCCCACTGCTCATTGCTCACTAGTGTAAGAAATAATACATGAGGATGGAGTCACGTCAGTAGATGCATCACATTTAATTCACCAGAGATTAAACAAAGCGAGGTGGAACAGATCAGGCTGCAGACTAATCCTATCATCAATATGGTCGCAGTAGCAGCAGTAGCAGTACGTACCCGGTCGGGCAGGGCGCAGTAGAGGTGCGTGTGCAGGCGGCCGGGCCGCAGCAGCGCGGGGTCGAGCAGGTCGGGCCGCGAGCTGGCCGCCACCACAGCGCCCCGCGCGCCGCCCTCGGCGCCGTCGAGCCGCGCCAGCAGCTGCGTCACCACGCGGTCCGTCACGCCCGTCGAGTCGTGCCCGCGTCTGCGTGCACACAACATTCAAACACATTCGTATCCGGCTCGAAGGACCGTGACTACAGCAACGAATAATACATACTTAAAATAGCAAGTAAGCTAATGAGTTCCATTGATGAAAGGTAATACTTAATCAGTGCCTATATACCAATTCATAAATATTTTACTCCAATGATAAATACCATTTACGCCATTGCTACTATTATGTAGTTTCTAGTATTATAGTATTATGTAGTTATACCTAGTAATTTCTTTTATCTCACCTTTCAAACTACCAAATATTATTTCCTTTTATACTCAAAATATCGCATTTCCAATCCTTACAAATTATAATCTTAACAGCTTAAAAATTCATGTCATAAACAATACGCAACTATCACTAATTGCACTCCAATATCAATCAAACAAAATTGGACTCAATCAAGCAAATTTTAGTTTCTTTTATCCAACTAATACTAATATCATAGTTGTGGCGAAAATAAATAGATACACAAATGAAACAACAATACATATCATAGTAATAATGACATGCACTTTCCAAAAGCAAGTACTTACAATATATCCACTTACTTGGGCGCGAGACTGTCGAATTCATCAAAGAACAGTATTGATGGCCTCTTCATATCTGCCCTGAGGACAATTAAAATTTACATACAAATAAGACAAAATAAAACTCAAAAATAAAGGACGAAAAGGCAAAGGTCGTATAAATTGAAGCGTTTGGAATTCTATTTTCAAATGTTAGCTCTACTATTTTTTTTTTTCAAATGGCTCTATTATTTCCAGCAATTCAAAACAGTTTTTCTTAATTTAAACTATTATAACAATCACCACATATATACGACTTTTTGAATTGGCGCCCAGTTTTTTTTTTTATTTTCATGTTGACTAGATGCGAAATTTTCGTCTTGGATGACATAATGATAAGCACTATTGTAATTTCAGTCACTTTTTGAGTCTCATCAGATAGTTACCAAAAAAACTTATTGATAACTACATAGATGATTTTAAATACCTAATCTAACATTAAGAATATTAGAGACCAGAGAGTAATTATTATTTTTTACTTTTTATATTTTATATGATTATAAAGAATAATTTTACAACACACTTTTGATCAGTCACTTTTGGAAATATTACAATCTAGCAACTTTTGAAAGCAGTTTAGTTACAAAGTCCGCAGCCGAGATAACAACAGTGGTCATCAGGACTTAAACTAAAAATCTATATTTATGTGATGGAGAGGCGAGGACCAGGTGAGTTCATTGAACTGATGATAGTGGTGATGATGGTAGTGGTGGTGGTGGTGGTGGTGGTGGTGGTGTTGGAGGTGTTGGTGTGGTGTTGGTGGTGTTGGTAATGTTGGTGGCGGTGATGTTGGTGGTGGTGGTGATATTGGTGGTGGTGATGATGTTGGCGGTGGTAATGTTGGTGGTGGTGATGTTGGTGATGATGATGGTGGTGGTGGTGGTGGTGTTGTTGCTGGGGGTGGTGATGGTAGTGGTGGTGGTGATGGTAGTGGTGGTGATGTTGGAGGTGGTGATGGTGGTGATGATGGCGGTGGTGAATTTGGTGGTGGTGATGGTGGTGATATTGATGGTGGTGTTGATGTTGGTGGTGATGGGGGTGATGTTGGTGGTGGTGATGTTGGTGGTGGTGGTGATGTTGGTGGTGGTGATGGTGATGCTGGTGGCGGTGGTGTTGATGTTGGTGGTGGTGGTGATGGTGGTGCTGGTGGCGGTGCTGTTTATGTTGGTGATGTTGGTGGTGGTGGTGACGTTGGTGGTGGTGGTGATGGTGGTGATATTGGCGGTGGTGTTGAAGTTGGTGGTGGTGGTGATGGTGGTGATATTGGTGGTGGTGTTGATGTTGGTGGTGGTGGTGATGTTGGTGGTGGTGATGGTGGTGGTGGTGACGGTGGTGTTGATGTTGGTGGTGGTGGTGGTGATGACAATGGTATTGGTGGTGATAATATGCCTAGATGTCCTCACTCTGCATCTGGGAGACTCACTTGTCGAATATGTCGCGGACGGCCTTCTCGCTCTGGCCAATGTACTTGGAGAGCAGCTCGGGCCCCTTGACGGTGAGCATGGTGAAGCCGGCGAGGCGCGCCAGGCACGAGCCCAGGTGCGACTTGCCGGAGCCCGGCGGCCCGTACAGCAGCACGCCGCACGACGCGCGCGGGAACAGCGCCGGGTACTGCCGCGAATCACACCATCGGACCATTACACAATGGACTTCACAGTGAGGCTAATGATCATACATACATTTACCAGAGGGAGACTTTGTACAAAAGTCGTTTGCTGTCCCATTCGTGTTTCAACCGTAAAGTGCGTTTGCATGACTGTGTTTCGGTTTGAAGGGTGGGATATGGCGTGAATTTATAGGGTACAGAGGAATAACATCTGAGTCCTCAGGAATGGCAACGCATAGGGGGTATCATGGGCGAAACGCAAAGGTTGTCTGGAAGAAATTGCTTAACGATAAAGCCGCCTTTTGTATCACTTCTCATTAACTGGCGCAATAAAATATAAATTAACAAAATAAATACACCAATAAACGACGAGGTATTTAGTAGGTACCCTACCAACTGTTTCGTGAATACATTATCTCTCACTAGTGCCCCGCCAGCACATATCGATAGCGCAGGTAGGGTTACCATTTTAACCCATTAAAAATAAATATTACGTTTAGATATAAATTAAGCAACAAACATTTTTTTTTCTGCATCCATTTCTGCATTCTGCATAGAAAAATAGTAGCTTCAATCGTCATAAAATTAAAATGGGATCAACAAAGGGAATAAACACTATAGATTGTAAAAAAAAAATAGTGAAAGCCGGTTCGGGACTGGATATCTAAGTGTGTAATACAATGTGCGCAAGAGACGGGAATTAACGCGTAGATTTATGTAAGGTAAAAAGCTACAAGTTACTCGGCGGGCTATGGAGAGGGCTACACTCGGGAGTCTCTTTGCGTGATAGAATCCGAAACGAGGATATCCGCATAGGAACCAAAGTAACCGACATAGCCAAAAGGATAAGCAAGCTGAAGTGGCAAATGGCTGGTCACATAGCTCGAAAAACCGACAACCGATATCCCTATCGGTTGCAAGAAAGGTTCTTGAGTGGCGACCACATACAGGTAAATGCAGTGTAGTACGACTATTTATTTTATATAACTTAGAATGGCAAACAAGCTGACGGCCCACCTGATGGAAAGTGGTAACCGTCACCTATAGACATGAGCAGTACCATGGACATAACAGAGTATACTGTTTCGCCCATGATACCCCCCATGCGTTGCCGTTCCTGAGGACTCAGGTGTTATTCCTTTGTACCCAGTAAATTCACGCCTTTATTATCTCGGAGTTACAGCCAAGTTCTACAGGCCGTGGTAAAGTCTAAAAATTTGTAATCGTGTAATATAAGTGCAAAAAAATCAAGCTAAAAGATAGCTTGATTAGCTTTTGAAATTTGTTTTAAATAACAAATTGTACTTACCATGATGGGCCAGAATATGCACTCTGTCAACTGTTGTTTGACGTCATCCAAACCACCCACGGGACCCCATATGTCGAATGCCTTAGCCTTCTCCTCGTCCTTGTTTATGTCTTCGACTACACGAGGCTTCGGATCTGATGGGTTTGCTTCTAAAATATTGATTATGCACTATTACTAAACATCACTTAAAATTATGCTCACTTGAATAAAAAACATATTTTTTAATAATTATAATAAAGCATTTTTGTATAATCATTTTTAGGGTTCCATAGGTCCAAGGGAAAAAAACGAAACCCTTATAAGACCACTTAGTTGTCCGTCCGTCCGTATGTCAAAAGGCTTTTTCTTAGGAACGCGTGGAGTTATCAAGTTGAAATTAATATCAGGTCAATTCAGGTCTGCAATCTCTTAAATCAGTGAAAAAATCAAGCTTCTAAATCGACGCAATCAAAAAAAGATACGGCCTTTTATGTTCCATTTATATCGCATATTTTGACATACGCAAAGGAAATCAAAACCTATAGGGTACTTCACGTTGATCTAGAATCATGAAATTTGTAAGTAGCAATGTCATGTAGCACAAGTAATGGAAAAAATCTAAAAACCTTAAATTTGTAGTTATTTCACAAAAAAAAATTCAAACTTGATTATTTTGTATGGAACCTTCGTTGTACGAGTCCGACTCGCACTTGACCGGCTTTTTTATGATTCTACGGTATAGAGATTTTCGAGTTTTTCTCTCTCTATCAGTACTTGTTTCCTTACGACATTCTAGGAATGAAAAGGAGTAGTAATTTAATTCTTACTCCATCATCACATGGAGTCATATACTTTACTGATGTAATAGATATAGTAATTTAAACTCACTTTTCTTCTTGACCGCCTTAAATATTCTTTTGTTAAGGTAATCTGTGATGTCTCTGACTGTGCTGCCAGCGGTGTCCATAGACAATTTGATGAAATCGTCGTCTTCAACGAGAAATTCTTCTTTTATTTTATCATTAATCAAATGCTTAAACAGTTCTGTTCGTTCGTCCTGTTCATAATTGAATAAATAAAAATTACATTATAATTATAGTGTTAGGAACAAAAACTAATAGTACATTACTGCAGTGGCTAGCAACTGAGGCATTGATGGACGAACGTGCAAATGTGGGCCGAGGCGTAGCCGAGGCACACATACGTGACCCCATCAATGCCTAGTTGTGGCCAAGGCTTGTATAGTACTTTTCTCAAACAATGCGCGAAAATCAAAAATACAATTTTACTTTTTAAGTTCAATGACGAATAACGAACAATAATAATTTTTCACGCGCCATAATGCTCCTTTGTTTTTTTTTTCAATAAACAGCTTTCTATTTGCAAGCCAGTTCGAAATTTAAATAAAACCTTGTATTAGTTATCTCCTTGGTAATGGTAGTACGGCAATTTTGATTTATCTCAAAAAAGATTGTCAAAATAATGCTCACATTTCCAAGCATGTTTGAGAAATAAATATTTGTTTTCAAGTGACTTCAAAAGAGAAGTTTTGATTTCGTTTGTATTCATTTATGTTTGTTACCTTATAAGTCATTCACTTATAAACCGACTTGGAAAATTCTTTTTTATCTGTAACTTACTTTCAGATTGATCCCATGGAAATTTTATCAAAATCGATTCAGTGATTTAGTCTTTAAGTCAAATTAACTAGATTTATCACAATTATTTGTGATGAATCCAGTTATTTTAATTATTTATTATGATTTATTAGTGAACTATGAACTAGCCGTGTGGTCCCAGCATAGAATGGGCTGCCACTTTCCCGTGGGTGTCGTAAGAAGCGATCAAGAGAACGTAATGGTTGAGGGATGAGTAGCAGCGTCCCTCTTAAAACATTACAAAGCCTTCCAAGCGTAGCAACTACTGGCAAATCCCCTTTTTTTAGAATAGCAAAGCAAATGAATAACCCACCTGATGGAAAGTGGCAACCGACGCCTATGACATGAGCAGTACCATGGACATAACAGAGTATACTCGAATTGTTCTCGCTCATGATACCCCCAATGCATTGCCATTACTGGGAACTTAGGTGTTATTCCACTGTACCCTGTAATTTCACTGCCATATCCCACCCATCAAGCTGAAATACAGCCATGCCAACCCTTATGGGTAAAGCCTATGTCCAGCAGTGGACAATTAACGGCTGATATGATGATGAATTAATAGCAAATTAAGAATATCCTTTTCGAAATTGCTTAAAATCACCTGCTCGAGCTCTGGTATATTGAAATGCGATGTAAACAACGGTTTTCCGGTAAACTGGCTCAGCGTAGGGTGGAGAGCCTTCATACTGAGCGCAGTCATGAGCACGCACACGCCTGAACACGTCTGCAGCAGGTGCTTGATTACCACCGCTAATCTAAAACAATGTATGTGCTTAAATAAAGGAATGAATGTAAAGTTGTTTATTTTCTTCTTAAATAAATGATACCAATTACATAATAATAAGGAATCTTTTTGTTTTTTATTTAAAAAAATTATATTTATCAATTCTAAATGTCACACTCTTTGTTATTATCCGCAAACAACACCATTATGTAATTGGAGAAAAAGAAAAAAAATCAAAATAGACTAATTCTATCTGTTCTCCTTTAACTAAAGGTTGTCTGTAAGAGATTGCCCTAGCGATAAGACCGCCTTTTGTACCTTTATATGCATATTTCAATCTGTATTTATGTTACTGTATTACACTTGAATTATTCACTTGTCATTGTATATTTTTGTTTATGGTGCAATAGAGTTAAATAAATAAATAATAAATAATTCACTATCAAATTTTCCTTTTTCTGTTGTATAATATATTACGGTCATTACTTGCAACACCGAAAAAAAAAAACAATAATTTTGTATTTTTTAAAAAAAAGAATTATCAATAACCAGTTTGTTCTGTTTTCAAACTTTATTTTACATAGGCTGTTGTACCTATAAGAATTAAAACCTTATAGTCATAAGTAATGACAATAAATGATGAGTACCATAGTGTTTCAGCGTATTCTGTGATTTCTATGGTATATGTGATATGGTCTACCGCTTACCATCGATTTGAACATTATTATTGATAATTACATAAATAAAAAAAATACCTTTGGTAATAAGCAATATCTTGAGGTGATGCACCCTCCATGTTTGGGGGGACCAGTGAATCCACATCATCACATATGAGTACAGCAGGACTTCTCTCCTGGCACATGAGGATCGCTTTACTTAGCACCTCCGGAATGTCCTTCCTTCCCTTTAAGGATCTACAGTGGAGAATGTGTGACCATACTCTTAGCTCTTTTTGGACTATATGGCAGAGACTCGACTTCCCTGAGCCACTTACACCTAGAAAATTAGACACAATATTTACATAAACTAAATACACAATATGTGAAAAATAGATATGACAACTATTTATCTATCTTCACATCAGATCTTTAGGCCTTGACTGGGTAGGTAGAGAAGACAGACATGCTTACCATTCTGGAGACTCTTTACTCCTCCTTCAGAGAAACCAATCAACTAATGTTATAATAAAAACTAAAAATGATCTTTGAAAGTCTCAATACTTCTGTCCGCTATTATAATAAAAAATACAGGAATGTAAAAATGTAGATGAAAATTCAGAAGTATGCCATAGACAAAGGAAAATTTGCGTATTCTAAGTGAAAAAGACATGAAGACAAATATAAATTTAAAAGTGTTTTATCTAAATAATAATAGTATCTAATGTACTATAAAATATTTTAGTTTACATTACATTGTACAAGTAACGAAGTGTACAAATATTTAAAAAAAAAACGAAGTACTAACCTGTTACCAAAACATTACTCTTCAATTCTGAAGCACCCTTAAAAGTGGCCTCTCTATGTATTTCAAAGTAAACATGCGATACAATTTTCTTTACCAAAGACTCGACAGATTTCATCGTTCTACAATAGTTCTTGTAATCATATTCGAGTTTAGAACTAGCGAGCTTAGGAAGCACCAAGTCAGAATCGCTTAAACATGTCACAGCTAATGTACAATGCCTGAATGATTCACTATTGAGCATCGTATATTTTAATTTCTCAGGCTTTAATTTAAATTGGAGAAAACCAGTACTGATCTCGGTGTTTTGTTTAATCATTCCATGATTAATTAATAACTTTTTACCAGAATGTGTATTGTTGATGACACAATTCTTAAACTTTTCTACAATATCAATTTCAGTTTGTGTTTGATCCGAATACGTTATAATATCTATATGATCCGGTTGCTCGACTTTATCACCAATTATGGTAAATATAATCCTGCAACCATTTTCAACATTTATAATTGCATTAAGCGATTTTGGTATGAGTACAGTTGGTATATTTTTATTGTACACTTCATTACAAAGGCTTCTGAACACGATACTGTTTATTAGAACTATTTCAACACAGAGATCGTCTATCTGATTCTTATTATTCTCACTTTCTTCTTCATTTTCCTCTTGTACTAGAAAAGGTATATTCTTTATGGTTGCTAAAACTACAGCTGACCGTTTATATTTATCATGTAACAAATCTTCATGTACAAATACAGTGTACGGATGCATCAAGTTCTTTTTACCATCACCGTCAATAGGGACAGCTCGGAGTACCAGTCTTTCTGGAATATTCATATATGGGCGAAGCATACCATCATGCACAAGTCCTATATTTTTAAACTCACTGTGTTTCTCTTCAGGCACGTCTATTGAGGTATTTGAAGATAAACCTGAGAAGCTATTGAAGGCATCTACTTTAACTATAATTCTACTATGAGTAACAAGTAAGCCAGTTTGCTTTGGTGTAAAAACAATCGGCAGGGAGGCCGATATCCACACCACAGCCTTTTGATTGACAGCCACAACTCTTAATTGATCTAAAATTCTCAGTTGTAACAGTTCCACATTATGTTCCTAAAAATAAAATAGAATTTTAAATTTGTAACTTTTGTTATTAGTGCAAATGACCTCAATTATTATTTCTATTTTTTTTTTTTTTATATATTTATTATTACTTTACAATGCAATTTAGTCATTAGTATGCTAGCATGCTGATTTCTTTTTGCACATACCAGCTCGCCTTTCACATAATTTATCTACAGAACACAATATTATAATATATATAATAAATCACAGAATATTAATAATCAATTTTTTTTAATGGGTGACAATGGTATGGTTACCCCGCCTGCGCTATCAGTATACAATGGCGGGGCACCAGTGATAGATGACTAATGAGGATGAAAACAAGTCAGTTAGCCCATCTTGACGAATTCTACTAGAATTAGCCATGATGGTTTCCAGGGGGAACCATGCGTGGAGGTCGACCCGATAGGGTATATTGTTAGTAATGGGGCTATTTGACCCCATTACTAACATTCCCTTTACCAATAATCAAATTTTGAAGGTTTTTTTTTTATACCACAAAGGTGGCAATCAATCTGGTCACTGTAACCTATGGATGCCTGTGACACTCAGGGTGTCACATGCACATTGTCGACCATGAAGAAATTTTGATTCAAGTAAACTTTAAAAAGATATTATCCAGTGAAATTCAATAATACACACTATACCAGTGTTTCCTAACCTATTTTGTGGCATGCCCCACTTGAACATTTCTAAATTTTTTATGCCTCCATACATAATTTTTCCTGACAAAGTTTACTTGACGACGCCCAATTGATATTTTGGTAACATCACACAAAATTATACCTAATAAATATTTACAGCATTTTTTTAAATTACCTTTTTTGTTAAATTTGGCATGATATCTATTCATCTACTCGTAGCATTTAAAAGGCTCTGAACAAGAGGGTTAAAATCGCTTCCAGTCCATTTTTTAATTGCCCCCCTTTAACTATCAAATTGCTCCCCTGTGGGGTGTGGGCCCCACATTGGGAAACATCGTACTATACATTTAATACTATGGTTACATAAACAAATGGCTGTATTGGAACATGATGTAAAATAATAGTACTTGGGTAAAATTGGTAAATTAATGTAAGTAGAACTGTTTTCATTAAATATAATTCTGTAAAGGTTGCTATATTGGAAATAGTCATTAAACAAAATATGAATATTTTAAATCAATTACCAAAATTTCTTGGTCATCAGGACTATCGGTGTCTATGTACAATTCATCCAACACTTTAATGCCTCCATATGGTGAAACAAACACATCCAATCCCTCCTCCAGCTCCACCAATCTGCTGAACACTGGGTTGACGGCTATATGTCCTTCTGGTATGTTACTGTTAAACACCACCCATAGTAACAACTGTTTGTCTTTTGATATCACCTGTACACTTTGTGTCTGAAAGTAAAATGTCATGTAATAATTTTTAAATTTAGCCTGACATCAATTTTATTTATTTATTTATTTAAGGACAACCAACAAAGCATACATTTATATCTACTTAAAATTCATGATAATATGGTTATATTATAAAATGCTGCCTCAATTAAAGGCCGCCACGACATGTGTATACATAATATATTATTATTATTAAGAAAATTTATAAAAACTACAATACTAGTTATACAATAAATAGACTACAGTAATATTTTAAATTTTAAAGATTTGTACACTTATAATCTATACATATGTGCAATGATACATGCATGAATGAATTTAACAAAAGAATCTATACAAAGTATAGTTATAAATGTATTTTAAAATCTGAACGTAATAATTATTTATAATTACATTAAATTGAGTTGTAATACATTATTTTAAACTGTCTCTATATCTACATATTCTTTTTTTAATGTATAGGCCTTAATATGTTGAACTAAAGTATATTTTTAACATCTAAATTTATATTCATGTTTCACAAATAAGAAACTTGTATGTATATATTTTTTATAATGGCATGAAAAAAGAAAAGTAGCCAGGGGCATGGTACCAGTAAATAATGATAGATTATAATAATGCAAAACCTAAAATTGTATCAAGGTCTTTCATAAATAAAATCCACAAATAGCTCTGAATTCGGCTTTCTGAACAAAAATACATATAAATCATGTAATGAAATTTACAATTATTTTTTTTATTGGTATTAAATATTTAATCAGAAGCACACTTACATAATAAAGATAATATATCTATATTTTACCCCATATGACCTTATTATTTTTTTTATTCAAATCAATGTATTAAGACAAACTAATAATATTAGTTCTTATAGGAGATTTGATACTGCTGTTCTGGTATTAGGACAGTTCTTATATATATGTACTTAAAACAGTGTTGACAAATAATTAAAAGAAAACTTTAAATATTTCTAAAAATAAATATTTTTAAATGTAACTTTCCTATAGTATTAATTAAGTAATTTGCACCCTTGCAAAGCCAGGGGTTGCTAGCATATTTATAAAATATAAATGTAACCAAGACAAGTAATCATTTATTGTGATAAATAAAACAAGATACATATTTTTTAAAATAAAACTATTACAATGTTTATTAACCAACTCATCCAAAAATTAATCTGTCATTCGAAAACAACATAATGTAAATGATCTAACCTCAAAAATATACAGATAACAGTAATGACTTCTAATTTGTCTTAAATCGGAAATAATCACAAAGATAATGATATTTCCGGATATTTACCTGTTCATTATTTGTGCTGTACTTTGGACTGATGTACGCAAAACATGATTTTTCATGAGTATAAATTACTTTAAGCCGTACACCTCCCAACATTTTTATAAGTGAAATTATTATTATATCTTTAGATATTTATTATTATAAATACGAATTCCATTTGTTACAATTTAGATATATGAAAACATAAAATCTAATTTAATAGAAATAAACAAGAAAATGGGAAAAACTACATGAAAATAAATTTGACACTGACAGTACTGACAATTTTGCCTATGACAGTAAACAAACATGACAATTGAAGTATCAATTTATTCATAATGAGAAAGGTAAAGGAAATGTCACTAACGTTCTTTTATTGTTTTTATAAATGAATGATGGCCTATTTGTTTTTTTTAATAATTGTTCTATTTACATTAACAAAATTGTAATACTATATTTAAATAGAACTTATGTAGTGTAATATACACAATTGAAGCAAATAACTATATTATTATAGTTATTTAAAAACTCATATACCTTTCAAAAAAATCAATAAAAATATTTTATGCTTTATTCGAAATTCAATGCTTGCTTGAAATCAATATTCATTCCATTTCACGACAAATAATAATTATACCAAAACTAATATTACATTATTACTTAAACTAAAATTTAAATCTACTAAAACTAAAATTACTTATATATTTAAAGTATAAGAGCCATATTATTTTACAAAAAAAAATTTTTTTTACATATTAGCATAAGTTTCACTATTTTAAATTATTCATAGAACTTTATTTAGTTATTCATGATTTCGTTAGAAAAAATGATAGTTATTTAATATGATTATTCTAGTATAGAACGGAACGTTGGTCAACAAAATCAAAGCTATTCATTGGATGTTGAACTAGCCAATAAAAATTGAAATGAAAGCAAGCCAACGGTTTTTCTTTAGACGTTTGTCCTGTGTTGAATAGAATTATTTTAAATGTTGTGAATATTTCACAATTTTATATCATTTTGGGCTGTGCAACTCATAAAATAGACAAAAATAATCCTAAAACGGCAGCCACCATTAAAGAAATGTGAGTAATATTTTAATACTAGAACTAGTCTGTCGACGCTGTCGAGATATTCGCTTGTTTTGCCTCCATTTTTTGTCGTTATAGGTGACAATTTCAAACTATTCTCTATTGTAGTCTAATTTAATGCTATTAAATATTAGATATATTAGTGTATTGACTACTGTTAATTACCACGTTAATACAATTTATGTTAATATTGTTTGCTACAGTAAATAGACAATGGCGCCAACTCGGTTGGCATCGAAGCCCATCGGCGTCACTGATAACTTCATTAGCCATGGTATTACTACTCGGAGTAAGCAGTTGGCTTCTCTTAAGACACATAAGGATAATTTGAAAATGCCTAATAAAAGGAAAGCTGATAGCCCGCTAAAAGATGTGACTGCTAAAAGAGCGGCATTTGGGGACATCACGAATGCATACAATAAGTCCTGTGGAGCTAATGACAAGGTTATGCCGTTGAAGAAGGTCACAGTGGAAAGCAAAATGCTTCCTGTTGTAAAGGTTAGTAACCTCTTTACCATGTGGATGGTTAACAAGTAGTACACCAGTACACCACACACAGTACAGTGTACACCAGTATATACCTCCTGATATGTATAAAATAATTATCGTATTTGCATTTCTCTTTCTCTCATCTTTTTCTTATTACATACACAAATAATCATCTTTTTGTACGTTACATAGTGAAATAATTTTTTATATCAATATTTTGAGAATTTATATTAAACTCTTATCTTTTTTATTAATCATCATCTCAGCAGTTAACTATCTACTGCTAAATGTAAGCTTCCCCTGTAAACTGCACTTAAGGAACAGTCTTGAAGTAGCTCCATCAACTGTGTCACTGCAATGCATTTGAGATCATTGGTCCATCTAATCAAGTCATCCTATACTGTCAGCCTGTATGAAGTCTTCTTTCAAGAATCTTTCTTTCCCATCAGTTGTATGTTTTTTGACCCTTTTCATTTAAAGGGTTGGATATGGTGTGAATTTACAGGGTACAGAGGAATAACACCTGAGTCTTTAGGAATGGCAGCGCATGGGGAGTATCATGGGTGAAACAGTATATTTTGTTATATTCATGGTACTGCTCATGTCTATAGGCGACAGTTACCACTTTCCATCAGGTGGGCTGTCAGCTTGTTTGCCATTCAAAGTTGTATTAAAAAAAATAACTTCAGTTGGCTTTCATATAAATGCAAATATGATATTTGGAATAAATTTAGAATTAAAATATTGTCTGTCTTCCCTATTTGTTCATCTTAGGAGATATTCACAGTTAAGTGGTAATATTGGTGTTTTAGTTATATGAAAATGAGTTACCAAGATATTTATTTTCATTTTAATACATGTAAAAATAAATAAAATTTATAAATTCCTTTTTTTTTTAATATAATGGAGTTGTCTTGATTTTCCCTATAGTCAAAGTATATTTTAATACAGTAAAATACGATTTAGGTTGCCTTTCATTATATAAAATTTTTAGAGCATCAAACCACAGACTACAATATTGAATGGAAAGACCTCCAAAACCAAGCAACTACAGAGGGTGGCCACTAACGCATTGGAAACTGTACAAAAACATTTCGCCAAAGATCCACCCAAGCCTATTGCAACTAGAGCACAGAATGGCATACTCAAGAATATTGAGAGGAAATCTATTGGTAAAGAAAATCAGAATAGCAGCCAGAACTCTACGAAGTCTGGCCGTAGTGATGTTTCAGGGGAGCCCTCCCTTTATATGACTGCATTGGAGAATATGTTAGTATATTTATTTACTATCTGTATTTTTAAATGGTATAAAATAGTTTTACTATCTATATCCAGATATAAGAAGTATGTGGAGAACACACTGCTGTTTCTCTAATTACTTCTAAACAGAATTTGAAAAAATCTGATTTTTATAATAAATACCAAAAATCTGATTTTTTGATGTATATCCGATATATATCCCAGCTAAGAAAAAGAAGCGAATTTCATTCTGTAAGGGGATTACACGCTTAAAAATGTGAAAGGAATTTGTAAAATAAAATAAGTATTAGTATTTTTTATTACTACATTTATTATTTAAAAAGACTTTTAACAACAAAATAATTACTTAGTATTTATTTGAGAAATATTTTTTTTATGAACAATTAAAAAAAACAAGTACCTATTATTATAATAATATTATTATTTTTATGAAGTTTCCGTTTTGGGAAACAATTTAAATTATTCTGAATTGTAGTTTTTTCCTATGTGTTGCCAGGGTAAACATTAATCTCCAATATTTTTAGTTCAGAAGACAGGAAAATATCAATTGATATTTATCAAGATAAAAATCAATTGATGTATATATATATATATATATATATACACACATCGTGATATATATCTGCTGATGTGTATTAGCGAACCCTGCTTCTAAACCACAAGTTTTTCATATATATTTTACTAGCATTTTCAATCAATTTAAAAAAAAGTGAGTTTCTGAATTTGATTGTTTCTTTTTTATAATGATTATTACCTCACAACTCCATCAGTTCTGAATCAATTTGGGAAATTCTTTTTTTATCTGAAAGCATATAACTTACACTTTGGTTCTACAAAAAGTTTATCAAAATCAGTTCAGTAGTTTAATTTTTAGATCAAAATAACTGGTTTTGTTACAATTTAAATCAGATCTTTTATGGGAACTTTGTATGGTGTACATACATCCTAATAAAACTTTGCTAGTATATAAATTGAATGTATTGAAATAAATTTGATCTATACAAAGCTTAGATGGTTTGGAAGTTCAGTAAATTAGTTATAAATAAAACTGTTACCATTTTTCCTTTGCTTGATGCAACATTATATAAATATTCAGTCAGCTGTTTTGTGAGAACTTGCTGCGAATTGGGGTTAATAATTTTTGCGTATCTTATCTTTCTATATGTAGGTCACGGTCTTAGTTGATTCATTTTGGTGTCCTAAAGTAATTCATATTTGCAATACACTTAGTTTCCCAGAGCGGTAACAAATTACGCAGAAATGCATTTTTAATATTTATTTTATATAACATAATTACATTTTTATTATTATTTCAATATTGCATTGCATATTGGTAAAAACTGTAAAACTCACCAAATATATATATATATATATATATATATATATATATATATATATATATATATATATATATATATATATATATATATATATATATATATATATATATATAAATAAATACTTGACAGTTTTTATGAGTATTTTAAAAGAAAAAAATAATTAAATACACACACACAGGTACACTTTTTGGGAGTAAATTTAATAATTAGATGATACAGAGACAGACATCAGCAACTTGATATATAAATCATTAGAACCCCTTTTATGAGGGTATTTAACCAGTGAAACAATAATTTAACCGAATTTAAAAAAAGAAGGTTCTCAATTCAGTTGTATATCTTTGTTTGTTACCTCTTAACTTTGTCAATTACAAACCTGTTAAAAAATTATATTTTTATCTGGAATTATATGAAATTATTTTTCAAATTGATTGATTTGATAGATTAGTTTTTAAATCAAAATAACTGGTTTTGCCAAAACTAAAGTAATTTTATTTATTTTTGTGTGGAACATATTTTGACAAAACATGGTGCAAAAGCTAACTTTAGAGACTTCCACTAATTTCACATCTGAATGCACTCTGCTAGTATGTAACAAAAAAAAAAAAACAATTTTATATATTTTATACTTAAACTTCATTAAGGAAAAAAGTAATGTCAAAAGTAGGATTCTCTCTTAAATAAATGTTGATGATTTTGATTACACCCTGTATAAGTTCTTAATGAATCAATATAAACTCTCACTACTTTCAGAAGCCCATCAGAAGTTACAAAAGAAGAATACAAGACAATCAGCGACAAGCTAGACAAAGTTAACTTGGATGACTCCAGCAACAAATTGCTGGATGATGAAACTGACATTCCACACAAGCCACCACCTGGTGTAGTAGATTTTGACCTCGAGAACTGGAATGACCCATTCCAAGTGTCTCAATATGCTATGGATATTTTCAATTATTTGAAGAGCAGAGAGGTAAGACTTATCAAATTGATATTTAAATATATTTATAATTCATGTTCAAAATTAAAGGAAAAATGGTTAAAAAAATAACTTTATTGGCATGTTTTTTTTTTCTGTAATGGACATTAAAAGGTGTCCAGGCGCGATCAACTTTGTTCTTTTATATAATTGTTGGGCATTCAATATTATGATCGAAATTTCCACTATTATGCAACTTCTTTGCATAATAGTGGAAATTACGATCGGTTAAATTCCATTATTTTCTCTCCGAAAATCTTAATTGTAATATTAAGTTAACAGTTAAACAGTTTCTTCAGGGTCGGTAACGTGCACGTGACACCCTTAATGTTGCAGGAATCCATAGGCTGCAGTAATCATTTACCATCAGATCGGCTGTATGTTTGTTTGCTACCGTTGTAGTATAAAAAAAAACTGAGAGAAGCTACAAAAATCGTCTGCTTGGGTATTTTTCCCCATTAGTGTTTCTACTGTGAAGCAGTTGTTTGTATGGTCGTGTTTCGGATGTGATCGTGTTGTTGGGATATGGCAATGCAATTACAGGATTCTGAGGCATAACACTTTAGTCCTCAGGAATGTGAATGTATGAAGAGTATTATGGATGACACAGAATACTCTGTTATGTCCATGGTACTGCTCATGTGTATAGGCGATGGTTACCACTTTCCATCAGGTGGGCCGTCAGCTTGTTTGCCATTCTAAGTTGCATAAAAAAAAATAACAATCCACCTGTTCTCAACTGATAATCTGATATGTTATCAGGTCTAAATTACAATTTATTGTAATGGTTGTTAGATTAATGCATACAATTTTCACTTTTGACATTTAATTTTTTTTTATATGTTACAAACAAGAAACCAATATTACCTTTTTATAATTTTTTTTAGATAGATGAATACTTAAGTATATTTTATTACCCTAGCGACTGTTCCTCATCGATGACTACCTCGTGAGAATGGAGGGTATCACGTCGTGGATGCGCGCACTCCTCGTTGACTGGATGGTTGAGGTCCAGGAGAGCTTCGAGCTTAATCATGAGACGTTATACCTGGCGGTGAAGTTAGTGGACCTCTACATGACGAGGTCGTCCAAGACGCATCCCCAACAGAATCGGCTAACGAAGGAAGAGCTGCAGTTACTAGGAGCATCGGCGCTTTTTATCGCTTCTAAGTTTGATGTAAGTAGTTTTAAGATTTATCCTAATTAATATAAGAAGTGGGGTTTAATCGTTTGTTATTAAATAATGCTTTAACACTCTGAATGAATTATACTATACCATACTATGGTATGGTATTAGTCGTTTACCGTCCACTGCTAAACACAGACCTCATCCTTGGACGGTTTTTACCAGTAGTTGCCACGCTTAGCAGGCAGGTTTGCAAGCGCATTTTGGCTTTGGCAAAATAATTTAATAGAGAGTTACCATAATCGCCTCTTACGACACCAACGGGAAAAGAAAAGGTGGCCCAGTCTTCCGGGACCACACGGCTAGTTTGTAGTTCGCGTAATAAGTCGGATAAATTTAATATATTTAGATACTGAAAACATCATAACCTAATTTTTATTGTAAATAATACACCAGGACTGGCCTTTGCGGATTACTAGCAAAACTATGCAAGTTTTTATGAAAAAAAGTAACACTTTTGAAAGTGTTAACGGCGAGACAAATCCCGGATCCTCTTGCCAATGACAGAAAGAAATACGCGATCTGTGATTCGCGTTATTCACTCGAAATCCTATTTTAATACACATTATGATCCATGTCTTGCACTACTTAAAATCCTAATTTAATATATATTCTTTATTGCACTTGTAAATTACATTGTTAATGCATTTATAAATATTGTAAGCAAGGGTGGACTTATCTCTGACAGAGATCTCTTCCAGTCAACCCAATGCAGTTAGAAAACATGTTGTTAGCGGGCAGCTGAAGTGCTACAACTATTACTACACATTATAAATAATAAATTTCAATATTTGGAAACCACAATTCCTTTTATATTATATAACTCCTCTCAACAACGGTCTCCATGTCCCATGAGGTGGACTGTCAGCTTGCTTACCATTCTAAATATTTAAAAAAATATCCTGTCTATATGTTCAGGAGCGCATACCTCCGCTAGTGGACGACTTCCTGTACATCTGCGACGGTGCGTACACACTGAGCCAGCTACTCAAGATGGAGATGAACATCCTGCGGGTGGTGGACTTCGACCTCGGCATCCCACTGTCTTATCGGTTCCTCAGGAGATACGCTAGGGTGAGGCATTCGAAATTTATTTAAATTTATTTAAAAAGTAAAAAAGTTGGAGTTGATAACAACCACTCCAGGAACACTGTTAATAAACCATGTTAAGTATTATATATATTCGAGGTTTTTCCAAGAGACTACAACATGGGATTCTTCAAAAAAGGGTTAGAGATTTCTTTAGTATCGGCAACGCGCGCGTAACACTCCTGGTATTGCAGGCGTTCATAGCTTACGTTAACCGCTTACCATCGGGTGGACTTTATGCATGTGTGCCACCTCAATGTTCATAAAAAAAAAATTGTCAACTAATGACACAGTCATTATGAGAGTTTTCTAAGTAATAAAAATACAAATTTACATCCCCTAGTTTAAGGACAGGGTATCCAAAGCTGTTTTCAATATTTTTTAGTACTGAACAGCTTTGTGAAAAGTTTTAATTCAATATTTCTAGGCGCGCTGATTTAGCTTCTATTGCCTGTCAATCAATTTGTATAAGCTTTATGGAGGATATATTTGTATTAATTAGATATAATCTATATGTCTCCGAAATAGTGTGCCCGTGTGTCGATGCCGACGCTAACACTGGCAAGGTTCGTGCTGGAGCAGTGCCTCCTTGAATACGGCCTTCTGGAAAACTCTGACAGCAAGATGGCCGCCGCCGCACTCTACCTCGCGCTCAGGATGAAGTCCCTCGGACACTGGACACCAACGCTACAGTATTACACAGGTAAAATAATCCAGCTAATTGTTTAGAATTATTTACGCTTCCAGTAGTATATGTATAACTACCAGCATTTGAGAGATATGGCAGTGAATTTATAGGGTACGGAGGAATAACACCTGAGTCCTTAGGAATGGCAACGCATGGGGGTCATCATGGGCGAAACAGTATACTCTGTTATGTCAATTGTACTGCTCATGTCTATAGGCGACAATTACCATTTTACATCAGGTGGGCCGTCAGGTTGTTTGCCATTCTAAATTTCATAAAAAAAAAATGAAAAATTTGCGCCACACGGTTGAATGCAGAGTCTTTTCTTTAATATTAAATACATCTAATACAATAGCTTGTATTTGGTCAAATAGAGTTATCATTCATTCATAATTTACCCGAGTTATTTCAACATTTTGATTAGTTTACTAGTAGTGAATCTACACAGTTTATAGTTTACCTAAATAAAACTGAACTGTCTATTTGTATGCCACTTACAGTACAGTAGATATTTCAATATGTAAATATATTTTTTATTTGTACATTTCAGGTTATTCAGTAAAGGACATCTTGCCATTAGCGAAAGCACAAAACTCTGTTTTACACAAGAAGCCAAAATCAGCTATCAGCACAGTACGGAATAAGTACTCGCACACAATCTTCTTTGAAGTAGCCAAAGTACCTCTAATCGATGACTCTGTTCTGAGCAGCTGAAATAAGCCAAGTGGCACTTTACACACAGTAAAAAGCATATTAAGGTGGGTGCAAATCTTTTGATTGTATATATTTGTATTGTTTTGTTGGTTGCCTATAATGCCTAGTATGCTCACACATGACAACTTTATAAAAACATGTTGAGTTTTGATTATCTTATTTATCCACGTGTTATTGAGGTATACAGTGCAATGTGGGCAGTCAATCGTTAATAGTGCATAAAGAAATAAGTCACAAAATGTATGCCCAAGTCAACCCACCAATAAGCTGCATTTGTTTGCGCAATGCAATTTTTTTTTTTTTGTTAATGTTATTATAATATTTAACTATATACTGTACAGACACATCGGCTCATTTTCATTTTTTGTCAATAAGAAATTAAATATTTACAACTCTAGTGATTCCGTATAATTGTCGGATTTTCTTTTTTTTTTAATTTGGGTTGTGTGTCGCCCTTTCTAATGAAAATTAAGATGGCGAAATATCGTAAGGTGCCACGTTGTAAGCTAGATTGTAAGTTATTGTTTAACGTTACAGTAGACAAACGTGTGGCGGGTCGTATGCGAGCGGCCGTGGACACGGTATCACTGCCGGTAATTTAGTATAATATCTAGGTAGTGACGAATCTAGATCAATTACGGAAACGTAGGATTAGCAATTGTTTAATGTAAAGCAGGAAGGTGGATTATTTCAAATTTCGATTTTGATGAATAATTTTCGATTTATTGCGAATTTTATATACATTTTCTTTTTTTCTTTATACAAAAAAGACTGAGACTGCACACGACAGAAAACTTTGGGTTTTCATATTTGTCGTTACAATTGTGCCATATATTGTATTGCACTATGGCAAATCACTAATCCCACCAAATAGACTAAAGAGCTATAAACTCTTTTCGAATTCAATTAAAGTAAGTGACAAATTCAATTTTGTTTAAATTTCAAAAATCACAGAATCCAAAATCGTACCATGTCATATAGTTCAATAGAATTTGCCAAAAATTATAGCCAATTCACATTCCAATATTGTTTTTTTTTTCCGCCTTGCTTAATATTAATAATATTAGAGTAATTGTCTTCCTATAGGAATGTGTAGGTGTGATATCATTCCACTTCAACGCTATGAAAGTGGAAATGTATGTAATTTTGAGCGTTTTTATTTAAAATCCACAATGTCAAAACTGAAAGCACACTCGTGTATGATTTCAAATAATATCCATACCATTAATATTTAAAAGCAATTCCCATTTTGGTTGGTAACTAAACGCTTGAAATGTAGTCATGAAATTTTACCTATCTACCCTTTTTACTTTGGATTCAATTTACCTTAAAGAATAATCGATTGTATGTATATTTGCTTGTATGTAAAATGTTTTTATATGCGTTATAAATATGTATTCTAATTGAGCGCGCTTTGCTAAAATCTCTTTTAATTTTAATTATTATTATTATTATTAATGGATTTTGTAATGTTTTAATAATTAATTTACATAGTAATTATTGTGAGATTATTTGCATCATTGTCTTGTGTTTTGTAATTTATCACATTTTAAAGAGTACAAAATATTGGAATGTTATTAATAATGTTGTTTCGTTAATGATAAGTTTTAGAATAATTACACTTTTAAAACTGTTTTTCTTGATAGCGTTCTTCGTCTAATTGTACAAGGTAAATGTAACCTCTTGACATGTAAATAAAAGTGATTTTGGTTTGGTAACTTGTACTTTTAATTTTACGAATTTTTGTACATATCGTCCTAGTCGTAGAACACTGACGGATCTGACGAATGTTACATATAAAGATCCGTCAGTATTCTACGACTATGACGGTATACGCATATGTGGCAGGCTCCAATTACAGACTAAAGAGAATTATTCTTAAAAACCTCAAGTTTCTAATAAATCTATTTTAGTCACTGAGGTATTTTTATTTTGATGTGAACGCGTAATATATAAAAAAGTGGAAAACAACACACAGTTAAAAAAGTTTTGCAGGAAGTTTCAGTTTTTATGAGTAAAGTGGTAAACTATGTTACTAGTATACTCGTACCGGGGGCCAAGGGATTGTTAGTGATGCGGACACCAGTCCCATTGCTACCAATATATCCTGTCAGGTCGACCTCCACGTGGTTCCCCCTGGAAACCGTCGTGCTGAATTCCAAGTGTATTTATTACGATGGGCTTACTGACCTGCCTTTTCATCCTCGCCTATCACCCCTCACTGATGCCCCACAAGCGCAGGCGGGTTTACAATTACATTTCAACCGTGAAGTAGTTGTGTTTGCATGGCTTTGTTTCGGTTTGAAGAGTGGGGTATGGAGTGAATTTACAGGGTACAGAGGAATAACACCTGAGTCTTCAGGAATACCAACGCATGGGGGTATCATGGGCGAAACAGTATACTTTGTTATGTCTATAGTACTGCTCATGTCTATAGGCGATGATTACCACTTTCCATCAGGTGGGCCGTCAGTTTGTTTGCCATTCTAAGTTGTATAAATATATATATCAGGGTATATATTTGTAAATCAAGAGAACATCCGTAAATCTAAATAACCACTGGTTTATTATTTGCCACTATCAGTGTCGTGGTCATATAGCTCGAAGAACCAATGACCGATGGAGACGAAAGGTTCTAGAGTGGCGACCCCATACGGGCAAACGCAGTGTAGGATGACCAACTAGATGGGCGAAATAGTATTATACTCTGATATTTCTTTTTACAACACAGGGGGCAAACGAGCATGCATCTCACCTGATGGTAAGTGACTACCCCCGCCCATGGTTACCCACAACACCTACGGCATCGCAGATGTGCTGCCGGCCTTATCTATATTCATAGTACTGCTCATGTCTATATTACACCTAACGGCCCACCGGCCGTCAGCTTGATTACCATTTTAAGTTGCATAAAAAAAAAAAATTCACCGGGTCATTTAGTAAACAATGTAAAAGTGTGTATAGCAAAAAAAAAAAACAACGTAATTTCATATTGTGATTTAATCACTTGAAACAAAATGGTACTTCCAGAAGCCTGGCATCAATCGACTTCAACTATACATAAAAAAATTACAAAATATAATACCTACTTTACACGGTAGGTACTGAGCGTAATGAGAACTTGGATATTAACACTGGACATTAATTTTTGTAGATATTTCTCCATAGATGTGGAATAGGTAACGCAAATGAATCAATATGCGGTATAAATCTTATTACATCGGGCAAACGCAGCGAGTACAATGTAAAATCATCGCTATTATTACAGGTGTAAAGTTCACAGGTATATTCTATGTTACATTGGCTGCGCCGTAATTGTAACTTGGGTATTCCATATAGTTCTATAGACCTCAATAGATGGCGCTAGGTACCACTTGTTTTTCTGCAAACTAGGAACAATACACATTTATAGGTCTTGTAACAGACTACACGATTAATACACCTTGTCAGATCGACCCTAGACGCGGTTCGCTCTAGAAACCGTTTAATTTATGATGAATTCATAGCGATAAAACAACTGGCCCTGTAAACAAATGGCAAGCGAATTCGTCGATGAAGTTGACATCGCTAGCGAGACTGAGATAGAACGATATAGCAACATCGGATGTCTCATTCCAACTCATGGACTCGCTAGCGATGCCGATTTCGTCTATGAATTCGCTTGCCACTTGTCTAGAGTGCCTGATCTGATTTCGTCCTCAACTATCACCCCTCAGTGTCACTGGTATCCTACTAGCGTTAACTAGAAGTACGGGGATGGAAGCCATTTCATTTTTATCCATCAATAAAAGATATATTGTACCAATAAATGTTATGAGTTACCATTCGATAGCATATGCCCTTCGCGTAATACCAATTCAAAAATATCACATATTTTTTTCTATAAACGTAAAACTATTTTCATGTCAACTTTTCAGCGCTAAACCTTTTATTTGGGCCATTTACAGGGTACAGAGGAATAAGATCTGAGTCCTCAGGAATGGCAACGCATGGGGGGTATCATGGGCGAAACAGTATACTCTGTTATGTCCATGGTACTGCTCATGTCTATAGGCGACGGTTACCACTGCATCAGGTGGGCCGTCAGCTTGTTTGCCATTCTAAGTTGCATAAAAAAAAATGCGTATGATGGCTAGTACAACCAGCCTAGTTCCGCACAGAAGCTTCCTGGAACCTTCACAGGTCTCACTGAGCTACCTCACTGTTCCGAAAATATCTGAACGACAGGGGTCACAGCTACATATTAATATAATAATAGCAAATTGACAATTTAGCCAGCGACCAATTAGGCACTTTTTACTTATGGCAAAATCACACAGTGGTACAGTAGCGACATCTATTAAAGTCTAATAAAGTTCTATATTTGAACACATAGTAGATATTTAATTTCTCAAAGTTGCACATAGCATAATATAGGCAAGTTTGAGAAATAATATAGCAAAGTATTAATTTGTTAACAAAAAACATTTTTTTTTCAATACAGACAACCGTTCAACAGAGGCATGAAAATACTCATGCCTGTAATATTGCCTCATAAAATAGTAATAGTAAACACAAATTCCACAATACATTTTGCATTGTATTTGAGGTAATCCAACAAACCGACACATCGGAGCGGTAAAGTTGTGCAACTGAAATATTTATGAGTCCAAATCGAATCCATCACACACGGGTAGCCTATTAGTAGCCTGCAAAACTACATCATTTACTAGTTCTCAATTATGATTGGATAATTCACATAGGGTTATATTATATAATCATATAGGATCATGGCTATTAAATATATTGATAAAAATTTGCCTATTTTACTATTCTTTAAAAGGGGGTTAAAGAGGTTTTTTCAGGATCGGCAACGCACGCGTAATATCTCTGGTATTACAGGTGTTCATAGGCTACGGTAACCGCTTACCATCAGGTGGGCCGTATGCTTGTTTGCCACCTTAAAAGACATTACTTCACAAAATCTGATCTTCATTATATAAAACTCTTAGATAATATATAGTAGCGAGTGTCCGTCGAGAGTCAATTCGCAAAAATAATTCTACCTTTTAATTCTTGTACAAAGTATTTATATCGAACCATATGTAGACTTTCTTTTCCTGTGGGTATCGTATATCGGAAATTATTGGTCGAGGGATGGGCAGCAGCGTCCCTCTAAACATCACTAAAGCCTAATTGCGGTATTGTTTATATGGGTGTGAATGGAATGGTTACCCCGCCTGCGCTATCGGTATACGCTGGCGGGGCACCAGTGAGATATGTTAGATGATGAAAGCAGGTCAGTTAGCCCATTGTGACGAATTCTACTAGAATTAACCAGGTTTCCTGGGAAAACTGCGTGGAGGTCAACCTAAAATTGTATTGCTAGTAACAATCCCTTTCCCCCCGCCTAATTGCGGTTACCAACCCGCCGGCTAATCGTGCCAACTATGGCAGGTCGCACTCGGGGGGAGGCCTATGTTCAACAGTGGATAATTAACGGCTGATATGATGATGATAATGATGATGATGATGATGATGAAGACTTCACTGATTCATCAATGTATAAGTAAATCAGAACGCTTGAAAACTGAATCGAATAATAAAACTATTTTAACAAAAAGAAACGATTATTTTTTGTAAAAAATGGTAGAGAAATTATATTGCAAAATTTTTGCTTGTACAATCTCAGATTTATTTGTCTACTTTATATTATTATTATTATTTGAGCCAATAACTGTGCACTGTTGAACATAAGACTTCCTCATAAGGGGGAGTTTAGCCAGTAGTTGCCACGCTTAGCAAGCGAGTTGGCAACCGCAGTTAGGTGTTTAGAGACGTTTTAAGAGGTACACTGCTGTCCATCCCTCGCTCTCCATTAGTCACCAGTTACAACACCTACAAGAAAGGAAGGGGTGGCCTATTTTATGCCTGGGCACATGCGGCGTATGTAAAAAAATCTTACAGTATATAGTAATTATAATTTGAACGTAACGCTTCTCGTTTGCCGAAAGGGGGAAAGGAATTATTAATAATGGAGACCGAGAATCCCATTGCTAGCAATATACCCAACCAGGTCGACCTCCTCGCTAGTTCTCCCTGGAAACTATCATGGTTAATTCCTGATGAATTCATCATAATGGGCTAACTGGCCTGTTTTCATTCTCATCTATCACCGGTGGTGCTCCGCCAGCGCATCGTAGCGCAGGCGGGGTTACCATACCATTTTCACCCATCAAAAAAAACGCTTCTCGTTATCATAAAAAAAAAAATATGGAAAAAATGATCCTATATAATTTAAAATAACCCCTATTGATACACGAACGAGTCACGGAGACTGTTTATGTTAATTATGCAATAATTAACATTCATCCATACATTTATAATGTTGGTATATTGTACTCTCTAATGTGTACACTACAAGTTTGCATCACGCGTACATTGTATATATTTTTTTTACCTGACACAATTAGTAAATCTTGATATCTTTACCAACATAACTGTGGATGTAGTGAGGAAAAAAGTTTTTGTGTTTGTTACATATTATTGCTTAATATAAGACACGAATCCCCTTATTCGTAAAAACTAAAATCTTTAACCTCTAAATGCCTGAAGTTTCAAATTTGATACCGGGGTTTGCATTGTTTCATTGTTAAATAAATTTAAATATTTTGATTACCGTAATGCCTAAAGTATCAAAAATGATACCAAATGTTTTTTTTTTTTTCAAAATAAATATATAAAAATATCGTTTTAATTTTTTTTTTTTTTTTACTATTTTTCCCCATTAGTAAACACAGTAAAGGGTAAACTTACGTTTTTTTTTTATTTGATTTAAAAAATCAGGCTTTTAAGGGTTAAACCTATTTTAACTATTACACTGTTTTGTTTCACTTTCATTCAAATAGAGAATTTATCACAAAAGAAAGAGACAAAACAGTTCAATAGCTAAAATAGATTTATGAGAGGTTTGATGTTTTATAGAATATGGAGAAGTCTTTTTGATGTTCAATTAAAAAAAAATATACCAAGATTATTTACTAATATGCCAAGTATATATATATATATATATATATATATATATATATATATATATATATATAAACAGATTTATATTTTACAGTAGGTATATCTTTACCACATAGGAGATGCCAGGTACTCATGTACGTAATAAAATACAACTCTATGAGTTCTATTTTGACGGACAAAAAGTACGTAGAAGACCGTCTCTTGTCTTCAGAGGCACTTTTTCATTCTAAAAATCTAAATATATATATTCAATACGTAGATACAAAATGTTTCACCTACTCAATATACAAGTGCAAAAGTGATGCAGAATTACATTCGATTTTCTACTAATTAGACATATCAAATATCTATATATCATATCATTGTAAAAATTTCATTAATATTGCATAATATTCATTTTCAAAATTCATACTGACAAATGTTTTTTCTTACATGACATTACGTAACTGACACATATCGGTTGACCTACGTCAACTTTGCGTGCATGACGTACGGGTAGGATAAAATCTATCCCGCTAGGTGGCGCTGTTTGATATGGAGAATTGTTAAATGGCAACACAAAATGATTCACATTAATCGTTTACCATAAAATACATAAACGACCCGCTACTGGGCACTTGTATTTAGTCAATAATCTTGACGTGTCTTTTTCGAAATTATTAATTCAAAAATCGAATATTAATACAAAATCAATTATCTTTTTCTTGTTTTATTTTTTTTTAAATGATGTGATTTCGATTACCTTTTTCTGCTGTAATATTATTAAAATAAAAAGACATGTCAGTATTGTTTACTAATTATGCCAAATATAAAAAAAAAATGGTTAAAAAAAAATATGAAAATATGGTACACAATATAAGAGCACACAGGACTATGTGTTTAACAGGTCTCCAATGGCATTTCAATTATAACTTTAACGTAAAGCAATTGTTCATTTGAAAACCTCATTTATTATTACTCATGTTAGGCGTACCTAACAAAAATTAACCAGCTCATAAACATATTCAGACACAACTTCTAAAACTTGCTAGGATTCCATCTATATGTGATATAACATATTGCTACAACTCGTCTAAATGTAATAAATGATACATAGGTAATATTGGCACTTCAAAATACCTGCAAAATTACAAGTGAATTACACGAAACCGTTTCAATAATATGACAAGAAATTTTTGTATGTAGCTAGGGTTGCCATTTATAAGCTTTCTCTACTTGGACTAATCCTCATTTGCAGGGTCCAAAGACCAGTCTAGCAGGGCTTTAAAGTTTCAGAAACAATTCCATATTTTCCTAAACCAATTTTGTGTTGACAATGTGAATTAACATTGCCATTAAATATCTGGAATAAGATCTCCAAACGTGACGCATTTTAAATTTCGAATCCTGCTTAATTTTACAGATGACAACTCTTATGTATCCCTTATTTTTATGCTCAAATAATATAAGCAAGAATATAATGAAACACTGTGAAGTTCTGACATGTAATGTTACAGGTAGATTAGAGTAACTCTATACATCTATGCTATGTGACACAATGAACACAATTGAGGATGAATAGACAAGTCTAAGACACCCAGTACACGATCCTTTTACTGTCCATTTCTCCAATCATAAATTGTAATTGATGAAAAACAGCATAACCATTATACAATTATGTACTAATAGATGCTCAATGACTTTCTTTTCATGTTTGGAACAATGTACTTTTAAACAAAAACGACTGGGTGGTGAAAAAAAAAAAATAACGCAAAATCATCGTGCACTGGGCCCTTAACACTGAAATTAAAATCAACAGATTAGATTATTTAACTCTAGAGTACAGAGAACCTCGACGCCTTTGTAACTTAAATTAGAAGGAATACTTTTAAACATGCATTACGAATGGTAATATTAATGTTTAAACAATGGTTAAAGACAAAAATCACTGGATAGTATCAGATGATCACATCATGCATGGAAATCCGCAACTAAATTAGGCTAATATATATCTATAAATTCGCACTAATACGGGCAAGCGGCGAGCAGATACCGGACTTAGAACGTCGAGATACTCAATAAATTCGTAATAAATAATAACGGCGGATGAACAATAATATGAAATGTACGTCTGCGTAAGACATTTTGTTTACCATACGTTCTATATTCATGGCTACATTCTCTTATCACTATAAATATATACATTACTGCGTTCAATACATAGGAACGCGACTAAAATATTTACAATAAAGTTTTGAATGCTTTGGCTATCAACAGGGCGTTCGCATTTCGCTCCATGTGTAATTCCTAGACTACTTCAATATTAGGAACAGATATTGGTGTAAGCTAGTTCAGTGTGTCGGAACAAACACATGCAATTTGAACCCTATATTACAGTGTAAATAGGTCCATTTTTACTTCCTAACGTAGATTTAGCGCCTTCACTGGCTCGTCACTGAACCAATAGCCCAGGAATTTCATTGTACGTACATAGACTTGCATAAAATTGGACATTGCAATACCTGGGACACCGATATTTCTCAATAGTGACGAGACAAAAGTAGTTAATATGTGAATACGGCGCTAGACTCGACTACACATGTTCCACGTTACACAAAAAACGTATCCACCTGTCGGCAAGTGCAAAATTCAATCTTAAATCCATTGCCGTTAGGTAGTGAATTTGAAATTCCTGGACTAAATTGTCCTTACACTTATCCACACACTATTAGCTGGGGTTGGGGGATTTGTGGTTGTCTTGTGATTCATGCGGCGACTCGTTCATGGGTTGGGCTCGGGGCGAGACCGGCCTAAAGGTGCACTCCAGGGAATCAGAGTCAGGGGTGCCGGGCGTTGAGGGAGTCAACCTATCCGACGTGCACATACGTTTGGAAAGCGGCGAATCAGTCTCGTCGCACCGCCGCTTGGCTACGAACATATTCGGTCGACTACTCACTGGGCTGAAGCTCGACGCTCGGATCGCGATGGGCGAAAGGCTGCGCCGTGTTGTGTACTTCCTGGTCGGTGATGGCGATACCACTGGGGAGAATCTGGAATGGATATTAAAAATAATTAATTTATAACACACATGCGTCATTTTTTTTATACAACTTGGAATGGCAAACAAGCTGACGGCCCACCTGATGGAAAGTGGTAACCGTCGCCTATAGACATGAGCAGTACCATGGACATAACAGAGTATACTGTTTCGCCCATGATAGCCCCCATGCGTTGTCATTCCTGAGGACTCAGGTGTTATTCTTGTACCCAGTAACTTCACGCCAGAATATGTATGTTCCTGGCACAGAATAGGGTACCCCTTCCTTTATCGTGGATGTCGTATGATGCGACTAAGGGAACTTAATGGTCGAGAGATGAGCAGTAATGTCCTTTTTAAATTATCACCATTATTATTGTAATATTGTTATTTTAATAAAAAAAAAAAATGATAATAGATTCGATTAGATAGTTATAAAAACTATTGACGATTTGCCATCAGGCTGCCCAGTTTGTACCAATTCCATCTTACTAATATAATAAAATTGTAACTAGACGATCTTTATATATATATATATATATATATATATATATATATATATATATATATATATATATATATATATATATATATATATATATATATATATATATATATATATATAACTTTTATCTGTCTGTCCATCTGTCAGTAAGTTTGTTTCGGCATCACGCAAAAACTACTGCACCGAATTATATGCGGTTTTCACAATTGCGTTCTTGAAGATCTAACCTCAAATCTGATATACGTTTCATTTAGTGAATTTCCTACTTCAGAAATTCACGCATGCGAATTAGCGAACCAAACGTAGCTAGCTAGCGTAGTACATAAAAAAAAACTACAATTATTTACAAATTGCTTTGTAACAGATTTGAACAAATAACATGTTATGTACGAGAGAACATAAAAACTATCGTATGGGGAATAAATCACGCGTCATTATTCTGACATAATGGTACCTAGCTACAAACATAGTTACACTGTAACTTCACAGTGACCCTACAATTTAGATTTTAGGGTTCCGTACCTCAAAAGCAAAACAGAACCTTTATAGGAGTATTCTTTGTTGCTCGTCTATCTATAATAAATAAATAAATAAATATTTGTCTGTCAAGACCCTTTTCTCAGGATCGCGTGAAGATGCTAGAATTAATATTAAATCCTCAAGGCTGTAATCTCTTAAAACTCGTGTAAAAGTTAATCTTTTAAATCGAATCGTAAATTTGTAACAATAATATTCTTTTGCAAATGGTTTTTAATTATAATTTGCATGGAACCCTCAGTGTACGAGTCCGACTCGCACTTGACCGGTTTTTAAAGATATGCATGTTGAGTCATGGATCCTGGAGCGCGTAGTCTCGTAAGGTGTCAAAATGTCAATGAGTCAAATTTAGTGATAGTTTATTTAAATATGCACTAGTTTTTCCCCGTGACCTCGTCCGCGTGGTCGCAGTATTTTTACTAACCGGAATAAAAAATAGCTCCTCGATCCCATGTAGTATAATGTATACCAAATTTCAAATGTCTTAACACTATTTTTTTTTATGCAACTTAGAATGAAAAACAAGCTGACCTGATGGAAAGTGGTAACCGTCGCCTATAGACATGTGCAGTACCATGGACACAACAGAGTATACTGTTTCGCCCATTTCTGCCATATCCCACCCTTCAAACCGAAACACAGCCATGCAAACATAACTGCGTTACGGTTGAAACACGAATGGGACAGAGGTGCCCAAGCAAACGACTTTTGTACAAAGTCTGGTTAAAAGTAATAAACAAATGAACAAATTAACATTTATAATATTAGGAGGAGAAGGGATTGGTAATAATGGGGATTAGTAGCCCCATAATTGCCAATTAATTCTCCCCCATGCTAGCAATACACTCTGTCTGGTGGACCTCCTAGCGGTTCGACCTGGAAACTATCGTGTTAAATTCCAAATGAATTCGTCACGATGGGCTAACTGACCTGCCTTTTCATTCTCACCTATCATCCCTCAAGATGGCGAGGCACCAGTAAGAGATGATAGATGAGAATGTAAAGGCAAGTCAGTTAGCCCATCGTGATAGAACCGCAGGGACGTCGTGCTGACAGGGTATATTGGTAGCAATGGGACAGTAGTCCGCAATACTAACAAATCCCCCCCCCCCCCCGTAGGCAACGGTTACGTTAGGTAGTTAGGTAGACCGCCAGCCTGTTTGCCATTCTAAGCGTCATAAAATAAAAGCTTGTAATAAAAACTACTGGATTACCTGTGCAACCTAGTGGGCGAGTTGGCCAGCCCGGAGACGAGGGTGAGGTCCTCGCAGGACTGGCCCATCTGCATGGCGGAGTGCACCTCCCGCTCGTGCGCCACCTCCCGCGTGTTGCTCACGTCCGCGCACTCCTCGGCGCGTAGCTGGTTCACGCGCGGCGTCAGCCGGGGACCCCACGAGTTCTGATAACAACATAATTAGAATATTAAAAAAAGTGTGTTATTAGAAAAAAATCATATCGGCCATTAACTGTTCACTATTAACAGTGATATAGACCTTCCACTTGGGGGTTTTTCCGGTAGTTGCCAAACTTGGCAAGCGGGTTGGCAACCGCAGTTAAGCTTTAGTGATGTTTTAAGGGAGGCGCTGTTGCCCTTCTTAAAGCATCACCAATAAACTCCCTTAGTCGCCTCTTACGGCATCCATGGAAAAGGAAGGGGTTAGGCCATTCTATGCCGGGACTACACGGCTCAAAAAAAAATAAACACTAATAGCGAAGTCAGATCTATTAGACTCTGGGGTTCCTTTTTTGAAGAATCCCAAGATTTACCTACTGTAAGAAACCATAGTAGGTTTCTTCAGACTCAGCGGGTTTACCATGAAATGAAATTTCGAAATTTCGGACTCTATTTCGTGTTTTTGTTTATACCAAAATCAGACCAATAAATAGAGTTTAACAATTCGTTTATCATACATCCTATCATAAAAGTCCAAAGGAACAATATTTTAACATTTTTAATATTTCCAAACGACATGTATTATGTAATTTTAACATCAAATTTGTGTTTCGTTTAGCTTCGAAATTTCGGAAAACATTTCATGGTAGGCCCTCAGAACTTGATACATCGACATACTTAGGAATCGGTTCCATTACCTTTTACACTGCACCGACAGGAATTATACAGGTATCTTCAAATAAGTACCTATATATAATATCCATATAATGCAGGTATGTATGTATATAGTGCAGAGGTAGGTAGGTCCAAAGAATAGAAGAGGCAAAATGCTGGGCCACCTTATACGACATGACGATTTTTTTAAGAACATAGTAGAAGGAAAGATAGACGGCAAAAGAGGAAGAGGAAGACCGAGGAATAACTACATGGGACAGATAAAGGAAACACTAGGCGTCATGTCGTATAGGGAGATAAAGGATATGGCCTGGGATAGAGCTGGCTGGAGGAAGATGCATGAATTAGTTGCACCGACAAGAGGAAACTGTTAAATGAAAAGAAAGAGATAATGCAGGTATAGTATCAATACACGGGGGCCCGGCAAGGTACACGTGTTAAGGCGTAACAAGAAAAACAATAAACAATTAGGCATAATTAATAAACGTCTTTAAATGTGTGACGTTTGTCTTTTGCCACTATTATTGTACATTAAAAAAAAATACAATAGAGTACTAACAGTGACGGTGACGGGCGCTACCAGGGGACTGAAGCTGCCGCTGTGGCGGCGCGTTCTCGACACGTTGTTGTTACTGAACATGCTGAAGAACGTGTTCCTGGAACAAACGGAACAACTGTTCAAGTAAAGTGAAAAACAAAACATTTTTTTTGTATGCAACTTAGAATGGTAAACAAGCTGACGGCCCGCCTGATGGAAAGTGGTAACCGTCGCCTATAGACATGAGCAGTATCATGGACATAACAGAGTATACTGTTTCGCCCATAATAATCCCCATGCGTTGTCATTCCTGAGGACTCAAGTGTTATTCCTCTGTACCTTGTAAATTCACTGCCATATCCAACCTTTCAAACCGAAACACAGCCATGCAAACACAACTGTTTCACGGTAGAAACACGAATGAGACAGAGGTACCCAAGCAAACGACTTTTGTACAAAGTCTCCCACTGGTTAATTTAATTCTTAATGAATTAATTCTTTACGATAAGCCCACTGATCTGCCTTTATCCTCACCTATAATCTATCACCTATACCGATAGCGTAGGCTAGTGTACTTACTAAAATTTGCATGCTCAAAATATGGCGGATCATACCTGAACATTACAAAATAAATCGTAACATCTTATTATGTAATTAAATTTCTGGCTAATAAATTATTATTATTCTAAAATTAGCACACACATATTTTTTAAGATGTAGACAAAGATAAGCTACTTTTTTCGCAGTTAATCAACATATAATGGTCACACAGACGGAGCCGCGGGTAAAAACTAGTGAATGCAATCATGACACGAAATCCGAGACACACGTGCACAATTGGCATTAACAGCACAAGAAATCTAATCCCATTCAATGGCTGCTTATTACCGACATGTTTACAGAAAGCATGATAACATAACTCTGTATTGAATTACATCCTTCTAGCAGTCGCGTATTCAATTATGATCTAGATACCTACCTCGTTGAAAACAATAGCCTATAAATTATTATTTAAAAGTATATTCTATCCTAAAGGCAGAAAATTAATAATTCAATAGCATTTGAAATCACAGTAAACAATTTTAATTTTTTAATAATAATATTAATGTCAAATATTTATATTATAATTTACAGTTTCTACTTGGAAGGCCTCATTAAAAAAAGACACGGTGCACCTCGCATGCATTCTGTATTTATTAACCGACTTCAAAAAAGAAGGCTCTCAATACCTATCACATTTTTGTTATTTTTATTACCTTATGACTCATTTAGAAACCGATTAGGAAAATTATTTTTTTATGTGAAGGGATATATTTATAAATAAATATAACTGGCTTTGCCAGGACTGAAGTCTTTTTTTATGGGACACAATCATAATTTAATATCATATTTAAGAATCAAGACAGATTCTTGATAAGTTCTATAATAATGCAGTACTTGATACTAGAGGGAGACTTTGTACAAAAGTCGATTGCTTGGGTACCTCTGTCCCATTCGTGTTTCAACTGTGAAGCAGTTGTGTTTGCATGGCTATGTTTCAGTTTGAAAGGTGGGATAATAGTGTGAATTTACTGGGTACAGAGGAATAACACCTGAATCCTCAGGAATGGCAATGCATGGGGGGTATCATGGGCGAAACAGTATACTCTCTCATGTTCATGGTACTGCTCATGTTTATGGGAGACGGTTACCACATTACATCAGGTGGGCCGTCAGCTTGTTTGCCATTCTAAGTTGTATAAAAAAAAATACATAAATTCTATTAACTACACCATGTAATGGTAACATTTCTACTGTCATTGTAGAACTGTAGTGCCAGATAGCATTATAAAATTGAAATTATGCGTAACAGAAGAATGAAGAGCAGAATTCCAACTTTAATAAAAATATTTATTTAAAATTATGTTCAGCAAAAAAACCGACCACAATTGTAATAAACCAGTTATTTGGGAAACTTAGAGTGGCAGACTAGCTTACGGCCCACCTGATGGAAAGTGGTAACCGTCGTCTATAGACACGTGCACTACCATGGACGTAACAGAGTATACTGTTTCGCCCATGGTACCCCCCATGCGTTGCCATTCCTGAGGACTCAGATGTTATGCCTCTGTACCCTGTAAATTCACGCCATATCCCACCCTTCAAACCGAAACACAGCCATGCAAACACAACTGCTTCACAGTAGAAACACAAATGGGACAGAGGTGCCCAAGCAATCGACTTTTGTACAAAGTCTCCCTCTGGTACAAAGTCTGATTGCTATATCCACCCTTCAAACTGAAACATAGTCATGCAAAAATAATTGCTTCATGACAGAAATATGAATGGGACAGATCTAAGCAGACAATCTTTGTACAAAATCTCCCTATTCATCTACAAAATACGTGAAAATTATCTGGTATATCCTTTCAGATAAAAAAATTCATATCTGCTAATAACTGACAGAGCTATGAGATAATAAACATAAAAATACCATCTTTTTTATACCACAAAGGTGGCAAACAAGCATACAGTCCATCTGATGGTAAACAGTCACTGTAGCCTGATGCCTGCAAAACTATTATATATATTTTTTTCTGTCATTTATGTTATCTCGCTTTTTTTGTGTATGTATGTTGTAATTTGTGTGCTGTAAGTAATGCAAATAAATTATCTATCTATCTATTATAGATCAAAAGAGGAACAGCAGTAATTAATCATGCCTCTTTACTGTGACCATTGTATTACACATAATGACATATTTTATTACCATATTTGATATTTTACCATATATAATAATAGTTTTTCCATAAAAAGTTATAAAAGTGAGGGTAGTTCTAAATAAATAAAAAGCCGGTCAAGTGCGAGTTAGACTCGCGCAACGAGGGTTCCATACAAAATCATCAAGTTAAATTTTTTTTGTAAAGTAGAAATTTACGGTTTTCTGATTTTTTTTTCTTTTACTTGTGCTACATGATATTACTTCTTGCCAAATTTCATGATTCTAGGTCAACGGGAAGTACCCTATAGGTTTTGATTCTCTTTGAGAATGTCGAAATATGCCATATAAATGGAACATAAAGGGCTGTATCTTTTGATTGCGTCGATTTAGAAACTTGATTTTTTCACTGCTTTAAGAGATTACAGATCTGAGTATATGATATTAATTTCAACTTAATACCTACGTTTTAAAAAAAAATAGGTCTTGACCTATCCTATTCGTGTTTCTACCATGAAGCAGTTGTGTTTGCATGGCTGTGTTTTGGTTTGAAGGGTGGGATATAGCAGTGAATTTACAGGGTATAGAGGAATAACATGAGTCCTCAAGAATGTCAACGCATAGGTGTTATCATGGGTGAAACAATATACTCTGTTATGTCCATAGTACTATTCATGTCTATAGACAGTTACCACTTTCCATCAGATGGGCGTCAACTTGTTTTCCATTCTAAGATGCATAAAAAAAAAACTTCATTTGCATACACCTAACAAAATATTATTTGTATCATATCATTAGGCCGTAAATACTGTGTAACCAAATGGAGAGCATTATCATCACCTCCTATTTATCATGTGACATGCCTTTGATAATAGTTGGTACCTAAAATAAATGTTTATTTTTAAATACATTTCAGTATCTATGACATCCTTACTAGTAACTAATGTGAAAGGAAGTTTACTTGTTAGCTTCTACTGTCTTAACTGATCACAATGATGAAATTGATGACTGATGAAATTTGGTATATGCATACTATCATCATCATCACCTTATCCTAATTCTTATATAGGCTCGGTGTAATATGCATGCTATATGAGACGAGAATTAGATTTACATAAATATTATATACCTAAATAAACAAACTGACTTAAATTCTTTTTTATATGATTAATATGATATATTAAATTGTTGTTCATTTATTTAATGTAAATCTAAATTATTACAAGACAAATCTATTTAAAAAGGGGCAACTATATGTAAAATAATTAAATATAACCTGACATCTAAATTGATGTTAATGCATGTATATTAGCTACCTATCAATATAATTTTGCTACATCCAAAAAGAAATTTGTGTACTTAATATTCATAAGAATATTGTAATAACTCAATATTATGTACATGAATACAATATAATAATAAATAAATAAATAAAACAGGAAAACAGGAATGGTAGCCTATAGCTACTTTTTATCCTAGTCAGTAAAAACATCCTAATTAAATGGACAAAGTCATAGGTAAAATGTAGCATTATGTAATTATTATTTATGTATGTAAAAACCAGGTAACTTATTAAGTAAATAGAAAAAACTGAGTGCCAAAGACCTATACTTCTTTTTGCATCACTCAATATATGTGTTTATATATTAATACATATATATTTATTTATTCTTTACTGCACAATAAAATTTTTACAAGTCTATCCTGGTAAAAAATAACTAAAATATAACTACATTTAAAATGTATTATATTTCAATACAATCTGTAATCTTCTGCTTTATCCATATAAATTATTATAAGGATAACAAGTGTTCTATAGATTCATCCAGAATAAGGCCCATCTCTGTATAAAAATTTATTAAAATTATTCAATACTTTAAGCATGATTGAGTAGCAAAAATACATACACACATTGTATGTATGTGTTTGGTTTAATAAGGTATTGACCTTTACAAAGTCTCACATTTATGTATTATTTACGTAGTATAAGAAAATATTCAATATTGATACATATGTATAAACACAGGCACCCTGCACCTAATTACACTTATAATAATAATAATTTCAACACATTTTGTTTTACTGCATATTTAAAACAAAAAAAAAATTATTCACCTATTGCAACTCCATTTCTTCTGGAATGCTGGAATTAGTGATGTTATTAATATTTATGAATGAAGTAAATAGCTTATGACTGTATAATACACTATAGCTAACTGCTTTGTGAACTAAGAAGGCTCCTATGTATAATAAAATTAGCCACCTACTTGTCACCTAAAAAGGCTACCACAGCCTACAGCAGTCGCATGTTTATCAATACACCACGAATCAACGCCGCCGCACGGCTGCATCGTTCAAAACAATGTCAATGAAACAAGATATGTAACACTTTTGATTTTAATAGTGTAAACAACAAGCGATCAAATAACTAAATAGAGGCATGGCACCCACAGGGCGATCGTTTAAAATAGGTATGTAACATAGCAACAACTACACCGCAGGCTCGGAGGCGTGCGAATTACCTTATACTTTACCTGGGCGCTATGTTGGTCGTAGGCGAAATAGCCGCCGTAGAGGCCGCCTCATTGATTAGAGGTGCGCTGCTGCACCTTTTCAATATGTTAGGAGCATCCACATCCATTATCTACAGCCACACCATTCGATCACTGACGTACTATGTAGTTATACACATCGGGACTGCCGACACTATTAGCTCTACAGTTTATATAACACTGTAAGTGCACTTAGAAACAATCTAATTTAACAAGAAATCTACCATTACGACTACATAGAAATTACTCATTACGCGTAAATGAAAGGATAACGAAATAAAATTAAAATACGCTACTCAGAAAGCTAAAAAGTGGCTCGAAGCTGACCTGTCAAATCGCCGCAATATGGTAACGTTCAAACAATATAAATTCTATATACGATTTTAGTTTTTTTTTTTTTTATTTGGGAAATCTCCTAAAAGTTTAATAAAATGCCTATAAATAAATTCATTTTAAATTGCAAAACAAAGGGATATGAATTTCTATTAAGAAATGGGAATTATGGGTATATGATATAATTTTTTCGTATTTTCATAACGGAGTCAACAATAACTTTTTTACACGGAATAAAAAAATTGAGTTGATCAAATCCAAGCTAGAAATGTCAAATTTATCACTCGATCGTTCCGTTCTCTTATTTAATTCTGTTATTTTCAATATGTAACAGCTTTTTAAACACAATTTGACTTTAAACTATTATTTAATATAAATTTTAAATAGATCAATGGTCTAAAACTATATATACTGTATTTGTTTATAATGTAACTAAATTAGTTCTAAGTCAAAAGTGTACAAATAATACATCGGGAGTCTAATGATTGGAACGTACGTAATTTGTTTTGACTTTTGTTTGATTAAGGAATGTTTTGGTTTGTTTAGAGATGTAGTTATTATTATTTTTTTTTATTTTATACACATAAATAATCTATGATGTATTTTCGAAGAAGGTAAGTAATAATAGATTGTAGTAATTGATTATTCATCCTTATAAATGTAATCTAACTAACATTATTTACCGTAGTACGACAGTGAAGTACTTCATAGCAGCATTTGTAGGGGCTGCTTTGTATTGCGAATGGTTCATATACCTCATACAGCCACTGTACTGGCAGAGATTAGAATGCAAAACCCATGATCAGTCGTGTACTAAAATACTGTTTATAGCCGACCCTCAAATTCAGGGAGACTTAGCTGTTCCACCTCCACTTAGCTACCTTTTCAATTGGGACAGCGACCGGTAAGTATAATATGGCTTAGATCTTTATAAAGTGTGTCCAATACTAATGTTTTCTTTTAATATCTTTTTTATTCATTTATTGTATCTATATTTATATGCCACTATTTTTTAACATATTTTAACTTTATTCATTATCTAACTTTTAAATGTGATTAATCAATAAACCAACAACCGATGGGGAAGAAAGGTTCTTGAGCGGTGACCCCGTACGAGCAAACACAATGTAGGACAAACCCCCACTAGATAAAGTGGTGAAATGAAATGCATTGCAGGGAGTCGATGGATGCAGGTAGCTCAGGACCGTTCTTTAAGGCAGTCTATGGTGGAGACTTATGTCCAGCAGTGGATGGATAATGGCTGAAATGATGATGATGATTCAACAAATAATTTTTGATTTATTTAAAATCACATTGAAATGAGCCTATAGTATTCAATATGCATGTTGCATAGTTCTTATTTTCAATGGATCTACTTGTATGTATAGGATAAAATAATTATTATGACAATATTAATACAAAAAAATTGAATATTTAAAGGTTTATTTCAATTTCTTTTCAATTGGTTTTTGTCAATTTATGTCTATTCTATTTTCAGTACTGAAATCAAATGATTTTATAAATGCATATTGTTATTTAGTTTACGAGACTTAAATACAGTGAGCAATTAATAAATTGATCAAACATGACAATCCTAATGACTTGATTTTGTTACCTTTTTTGTAGCTATGTAAAAACAACATTCTCAATGGTGATGAACCAGTTCAAACCGGATGTCTTGGTGTACCTCGGAGACCTGATGGATGAGGGCTCAATATCTACTTTACCACAGTTCCATTCATATGTGAAGAGGCTCTCCCATATATTTAATATTGATTATCCTGTCATAGTAAGTCACCTACAGTATTGAGATTAAAAAAATAATTAAAACTGTTTATCATCCAATATTTTATATTTGATTGTTGCTTTTGAATATACTTAAAAAATATTTAACCAATTTTCAATATTATTTCAACATAGAAAGCTATATTGTCAGCAAACAATAGGGGCTGTATTTTATTTTAAAAGAAGTCTAAAGCTAGGGCAATTCACTAGTGTATTGTAAAGTGATTTATTTTATTTACAGAGTTTGAATACGCAATTTGAAGTATACCTTCAAATTTACAAACTTATTCAGTTTCATGGTTATCCTTACTAGTATTATAAATGTAAAAGTAAGATTGTTTGTTACTTTACAATGCCTTAACAAGTTAATCAATAACCAATAACTATAAAATTTGGTACATATTATATGGGGTGGAGAAGGATACAGTTTATTTTTTGTCCCAGTCAGTTAAACTTATCCTGATCACATGGACTAAGTCATGGGTAAAAGCTAGTATAAAAATATAAATCATATTATGATACTTAAATTGATTTTTTAACCTCTCTGGTAATTTTTCCATGTTTCAGCAAGTCTGGATCCCTGGGGACAATGACATAGGCGGAGAGAATGAACCTATAAAGAATGACAAAGTGGAGGAATTTGAGAAAGTATTCCAACAACCGACTGTGATAACATTTAAGAATATATCCTATTATAAAGTGAATGCTATTACCCACACATATCCAAAGAAGCCAGAGAGTGGAGATAACAACCTCAGAATAATTGTCTCCCACTATCCTGTTACTAGCAAAGTTGCTTTTGCACAAAAGGTATTTTGTATTTTTAGATTTATCTTACATATATTCATTATTGCACTCAGAAATACAGTAATACCAATTATTAGAAATAATGGTGAGTAATGTAATGTAATGTAATGTAAATAGGACTCTATTTTCCGTGCTTAGCCTCTCATTTGGGCCATTGTGCGTATGAGTCGTGGCTAGTGCAGCCAACCTAGCTCCGCCCAGAAGCACAGAAGCTTCCTGGGATCTTCACAGGCCTCACGGAGCGACCTCACTGTTCCAAGTATTTCTAAATGTTGATGGGCCACAGCTTCACATTCCAGGATTACGTGAGCAGCCATTTCTTCGGCATCGAAACAACCTCAAATAATATGAGTATTAGTAACTTATTTCTAAAAGAGATGTTACAGGCGGCATCAAGCCCTTAAGCCTAAGACGAGATTTTTTCTAACCTCTCTGTAAATTATTGATGCCCATTTATTCCTCTCTTTTCGTGTCTAGGGAAAGTAGATAAAACTTCATTTGAGAAATCAGTTCAGGGTATGATAGGGCTGATATACCTGAATAAGGTAAAAGCCCTTAAAAAAAGTCAAAGGTGAGATTTTGCTTTTCTTTGTGTTCTACTGCTTACAATTACAATACCAAACAAAGGGTTTATTAAGGTTTCTTTACGGTAGGCAATGGATGCGCGTTAATTTTGTATGCGTCCATAGACTACTATAGTAATCATTTACTATCAAAATTTGTTTTCCACCTTCATGGTACAAATTAAAAATAAATCATGTGTTTATTGTTACAAAGACGACATAAAGGAAACAAGAAAATTTATAATTATTATAAACACAGTGGCTTCAAAAGGAGTCCTCTTTGATTTATGTTGTAAGTGAATAGAGAATCACAGGCTGTTCTAATTTTTAGAGGATCCCTATAATCTCTTATGATATAATTATTTTATAATAAGAAAAAGACAGATTGCTCTTTTTAAATCAATTCACTAACATTAATATTGGAGCATAATGTAATGGATCATGAGAAAGACTTCCAATGTTTGTACACAGGCATATTTATTTAAAAAAGCTATTGACTTATAATCAACTATTAATATTTTATTTGCTTATTATTACTTTATTAAATCTATCTGTACACTGTTTTTGTTTGACTGCCAGTGTCATTAACATTTGCCACTCATTTTCTGTTTCCCATTTTTAATGCTGGCAAACAAAACTACATCATTTTGGTCCTTCGTACCGGATCTCATCACTCGTTTATTTTTAGGTAAACAACGAAATCCGTCCAAATATATACTTCTGCGCGCACGATCACGAGTCGAAGTATGTAGAACAAAAGAAAGATCTCACTCAACGCTCAGTACAGCGAATGCTGACTGGTGATTTTATGCTGCATGTGCAATTTGACAAGGACTCTCTGTATGAAATTTTTGTGCCAACGTGCTCGTACAGAATGGGGACAGATAGTATAGGATTTGGAGCAGCAATATTAGGTATTTTTTTTTTCTTTTTGATATTTTAATTATAATGTTTGAAATGACTGCAATCATCAATACATTACAATATAAAATTATTTATTAACCTAGCCTATTAATCAATTAATTATAATAAATAAATAATCCTTATTTCACACTTTGTTACAATATACTTTGAAGTCCCTAACTCTCGAGGTAGGTATAAAAAAACCTGTGTTTCAGGAGTTAGTGTATTATTTAATCAAATAAGTAACTCCTGAATTTTCATGTTTGGATTATTTACAAATAATCCCTCATTTCAGGCGTGAAGGGTCTAAAAAGCCCATCCAAAGACCTAAAAACTTTTAACACCAAAGAGCAACACCTTCACTCAAGAACAATCTAAACATTAAGTTTGATTTAATATAATAATAATACATTTAATAAAACTAATACATTTCACAGTATCACAAAAAAAAATTAATGATCAGTCCCATTCATGAACATTAAATTACTTTTCTTTTTCAGAAAACAATAATCAAGAAATGAAGTACACAGTTCTATGGTCTCCAAAGAGGTTTCCATATTTATTTTTCTATGCAGGAATCCTTTTATTGCTTGTAGTTTACTGCTTTATTTATTGTAGCGCTAGACTGGCGCATAATCGTTTAAATTCTGTAACCATATCTGATAAAGTGCCCCTTCTAGAACGAATTTAGCACTGTTACAAACATGGAGATCGGTGAAGCAGACATATGTGACTCAAAGTCTAGAAGAGGCACTTTATTGACTTGTATAAGGATACTACATCGAATTATATTTGCGATAGGCAATTTTTATATGATAATCTGCAAAATGAGCGGATTTAGTTTATTTTATATTCATAATATTTATTTTTTCATTATCAACTTAATTTATGGATATCCCCACCGCTCGTCTCTCTGTTTACTTTTTTAGTTTCGTTCAATAATACCTAACGTGTTATATTCGTACATTTAACTTTGCAACAAACATGATTCGGTAGATGGCGCCTGCTTTAAATACTTTCAATACAGGTTGAAAACTTTACTTTGTCTTTATGATATAAACTATATATATTTAGTTTTACTAGAAATAATATTTAAATATTACTACAAAACTTAACAAACATTTTATACATATAATAATAATAAAATCATTTATTCAGCTACAAAACGTAACAAAATTAATGACAAGTTTATACATTAAAATAATAACTCCTTGGTAGCAGCTGAAATCGTCATAGTCGTAGAATACTGACGGATCTTTATATGTAATATTTGTCAGATCCGTCAGTATTCTACGACTGTAACGAAATGGTCTCCGTTCAGCTTAAGCTGCAGCGCTGTTTTCCAGTGGGGCCACCACTCGAAAGATATCACTCGTGAAACAAAATTATGTATATGAAATTGCTGTTTGTCAAAAACAATAACACTACTCGTGTTGTTTATTTCAAATAGATTAAGAACATTTTAAATTAAGTATGTCTAAATTAAGGGATTATATAGCTTTATATTTCTTTGAAATTGTGTAATTATAAAAAAAAAGCCTAATGATATATTTAATGAGTACATTCCGATAACGATGCTTTATATATATTTTAAGCTAGTTAAACATAAAACTGATGTTATTTTTAATATTTAAAATTTTATAAGAGTTGGATTTTATTTTAATATTAATTTATTGTTACATATTTATTTTGCTTAATGATTAATTTATCGAAAATTAACTTTACTAACGAGCTCACAGATAGCCTATACTCTTGTACATATATTTTTCTATATAAAATAACCCGAAATTGATAAAAAAAAATTGTTGGGGAAAATCAGTCATAATGAATTGAAATATTATTTCTTTCGATCAAATAACTGGAATTAATAATAAAAATGGCTATTTTACACAAATCCTAATACTATTCATTCGGTATACCTACGGATCCATTAAATATTACACCCTTGAGTATTGGATATGAATGCTATTATGATACATATAAAGCCACTATTTTAGCTCACCAGTGCAATACTGATAGTACTAATACCGAAAGTACCTAATAATTATTTGTAAATGTTCTCTCTTAATTATCGAGTACTATGGATTTCTCAAAATTATTGCATTTATTGTGTTTCTAATATATTTTGTTAATCAAATTATAGGCATTTAATGCTAACTTAATTATCCTATTTATACATAAAGTTTAATGTGTAATCAAATTACCGACAACTGTTAATTTAAGCAATAATAATGTACCGTTAATTGTATAATAGAAAAAGTTACTACCTAAATAGAAAGTTAAATATGAACTGTGAATGTTTACTGCAGTTTTTTTTTCCAAATTTGTAATGTTACATGGAGTAGCGGTTTAGCACGCTGTCTCATCTTATGGTCGCAGGTTTGATCTCTGCGTGATACAAACACTTATTTATGTTAGTTAGTTAGTTTGTATGGGTCTAAATGTTTTCTATATATTTATTATATATATATATATATATATATATATATATATATATATATATATATATCTGACACGCCTGTCTCCCATTAGAGTAGGCAGAAACAATGGAACGCCAAACAAACCTATTATATATATTTTAATATATTAACAAAAAAATTATAAATCTATCTTACATCCATAGTGTAAGCTGTACTTAATTTGATGTTGATATAATGTGTTCCAGTGATATTTATTTTTATATGAAAACTGAATCTGTACAATACCATGAAATAACATGATAATTCACAGTGCGTGTTAACTTTCAAGATTTACACAGACGAGAGGTCTATGAACATTATTTCAGTTATAAAAAAAAAAAAAACAATCGCAAGCAGCATAATAACAAGTATAATAATTATTTTACCTATTCTACAATGTAACTAATTATTTATTCTGTGACTGTATTACATTACATATAGTACACACACGCTCATGCAAATACGCAACGACAACTAAAAATTTTTTCTCATGGACAAGATTTCTTTTTAAAAAAAAAAAGTTTGCACAGTCCCATAGACTAACCTCATACTGGTATATATTCTGCAGTGCAATATTACACAAAATTCGCATAGCATATAAACATAATACAGTCCTGTTAGACATATCTGTAGCTATGTATCTATATATGTTAGTATCTATCTATCTATCTATGTAATTCAACTTGAGTTATGACTTTTTCATGGAACTAAATGGTCTAATGTCTTCATATATAATATTATTAATCAAAATAATATTTTTTTAATATAATAAGATGTAATTCAAATTCTGTTAATTTTCAAAATTATAAAACACTATATCTATCGATGCTACCTACTCACAATTATTTTAAATTGAAAAAAAAATTATAGCTTTAACATAAATACACTATCGGTGGGCAATTGAGTCTTATAGGAATTTGCTTGAAGTGAACCCCAAATGTGTCGCCCCAATGTTTAATATTGTATTACCTTATTATCTAAATATTTTAAAATTTATTAATAGAGTGACATGACCCCAATTAAATATAGATATAGTTTTATATAAAGTTAATATGTAAATAGTATGAAATATAAATATCCCAAACTGATTTGATACATTTCAGACGTACACCTTCCTTGAGCTTAACATAATCAAATAGGTGAACAAAAGCATTAACAAGAAATATAGTGCGTGAGTTTTGTAATTAAATACTTATTCATCTAACTAAAATATTGGTACAAATCTTTGGAATTTTGAATAGTGTCCCTGTGACAAAGTATGTGTATTATATTATATTCAATTAAAATAAATAATATTCAATTTTAACTATAATTCTTATATTTTTTATCTACAACAATTATCAGAAAAGTTAACTCATTTAATCACTAATACTATTTACAATACCTATATTATGATTTTACATTATTAATCGATCCTTAGTCAAATAAAGTACAAAGTTGATGATATTAATTTCATTATATTTTATTATTATTTATTATAATAAAGCTGCATCAGAAATTGCATCTTTACATGTTACATTGCATTTAATACTCTTGTGTAAAATTATTATAAGCTATATATATTTTTTTTTTAATTATAAAATTGTATATTACTTCTATAAAATGCTTTTAAATGTTCCTAATTTACAAATAAATGTAATTTCGTTATGATGTAATGTTTTCATATTTTAACACCTATTTTTTTTAAATATGCCGTAAAAGCAGTAGTGACCACCATGTAATTATTCAAGATAATTAAAGTCATGGGAGTTGAGACAAGCATGGTTCTTATATTCAAATTAATAGCACCGGTTATTAAGTTTGCAATTAGAAAATACAGCAAACCATTGTCGTTAACAGTTGATAGAATGACTGGTACATCAAAATTCTGGAACAGTACTTCATGAAAATACAATAATGCGATAATTGTTACTATTATGGCCTCTATATATAAACAGTATCCTGTGTTGGCTAATGTTCTGGAAGTAGGGCGATAGAAATTTACTATATATGTCATTATCCACAAGATTAGACAGTTTAAAATTAATTTAGCTTGCACCTTATATCTATGTATAGTTTTATCTACTAATATTACTTTTATATGAGCAGAGAACAAGTACAAAGATACATAACCAAGGCTAGAAGTTATGCCTTCTCTATTAGCATCCAAAACATTTATTCTCGGAGTGTCACCAAACACCCAATCCTGAAGGCCAACATATAAAGCAGTTTCATGTAAAACAATTACTATAATGCTTAAATAAAAAGGACTGTTAGAATAAAATAATAAAACACTTGAGAGTAGTTTACACACTGCCAATGTAAAAAAGAAATTCCAGTGCACACCATACTCTGTGACATGCTCTTGATAATCTAACTGCTTCACAGATATAAACCTGGCAACTCCCAGGCATACAAGTATTGATATGAACTTGGTATTTCCTTTTATTATTGCCATAACATTATTTTTAGCCACATCTTTGTGCACTAAACCGCTCATGAAAACAAACAAACCTACTCCTGTGTCCATAAGACTATACCCATACTTTTCAGTTTTCGCAAGATATCTTGGAAAGATCTCAAAATCAACTGCTAAAATACAGAACACAGTAATCAAGTAGGTGAGTCCTCTGACAGCTGAGATGGTATGAATTCGTCCCGTCTTGAAGCGATTGTATTGTTTGAATTTCTTCAATAAATCCAATTTTTTATATTGGTATATAAACTCATATAATAGAATGGTAAAAACAGCAATATTTAGTATATAAATATACTCAGATATTATTGTGAGGGCTGCGATCATAGGCAGGACGATGATTATGTACTCATAGACGTATTGGAGTACCCCAGAATATCTGTTCACAATAGAACAATATAGTGAGCATTGTACAGTGAAGAATATACACAGAAATGTATGGAATACCGGTGAACCATGATTGTTCATCATAAGTGACTCATGATACTTCTTATACTCGGTGCTGTTCATTGTCAATAAGTCGTGTCGAAATTGTGACTGCATGATTTCATAAAATCGATGATTAAATAAATTTCTTCAACAATGTCTATTTATAATACATTTATCAGAACTGTCCATAACAATTTTGCAGTAGCAACCACAACTTGAAATAAAAATAAATGGATAAAATATAATAAGCACCATTCAATAATTATTAAATATAACTTATCAATATTTGTTATCAATATCAATAAAATTAATCACCGGTATTATTATCATGTTTTCCAATTTATGTATGATATGACATGATATTGTTTTTGTTGACTTTTTCCTGACATTGACGTTAACATTTTTTTATTGATTGACTGACATTAGGTAATACTCTAGCCGTCAGTCATACAGTGTTGCCACCTTGGAAATAGACTTGTAATTACAGTTCCCCTAAATATACATATACACCTACCAGTGGAACATTATTCGTTTGCTTCGGTGCCTCTGTTGTAAAAAGATTTGCTTGTATGCGTATAACATAGAGATTACTTGTTTTGTGAAATAAACAACAGCAAAATTTCGTACGTTCATGTATAGTAAGTACCACAAACTATATAAATAAAAAACCATTAATCACTTATTATGAATCTATCTATGCGTACATTTTAAATACACTATTGGGACTTAATGCGATGAGATTTCTTTTGCAGGTGAATAGTACCTGTTTCTTTATTGTCGAACCGTGTACTTAATTAGATACCAACCTTGAAAAATGCGAAAATAAATGAAAACATACTTAGACATGTTTTTATAAACATTTATTGTTTTCTTATTAAAACTTATCTCAAAGACTAGCTTAAGCCTAATTTGTAACTTATTACAAGTGAATACTTTATCGTACAAAGAAATATAAATAAGATTAATTAATTTTTAATAATAATTTTTGAGCCCACTAAATAAGACAATAATCAGTTTAATGTGAATTGAAATTTCTCACATAGATTATAGGCACTGGGGGAAAAATTATGAGGTGAACAGTGTTTATATAAATATATTTTAATAAAATTTAGAATAAAGATAGGGCTTTATGTACAAATAACAGGTATAACCTGGCAATTTTTTACGCGGCACTCTTCTGCTTTGTATATTAATGACAGAGTATGCGGATAGTGTAGTAGGAAAAAGTGCCCGTTGCCCTTATATTATAAGCCCCCCTGCTCCGTACGTCTATCCGTAGAAGTGCCGCATACAAAGTTGCCGAGTTATAAATGCTATTTACTTATTTAATTTAAATAGAGTTAAAAGTCGAAATCATAAGGACGCTGAGGACGTCTTTGCCCTAACGGTATATTAACTTCTTCGGCTGAGTGGAAGACCTGGGGCTGCTGCTGCGGCCGGGGTGATGGTCGGGCCTGTTGCGGCTGTGGAGCTGGCTGACGGCGAGGGGCTTCCTCCTGAGAATAAATCCAGATTTAAATAGACACGAATTAAGGAGTCTGAAATGGCAACTAATTCTCGTCGTCATCGGTGAGATACTTATATTCTTTATATGTATTAGAAGCTAACTCCTATTGGGTAAACTTTTTAAATGGGTAAAAAAACCCGCTTAAGCTATAATTATACGCTGACAGGACACTAGTGAAGAATAATAGGTAAGGAGTGAAGTAGGCGAACAACAGAAAGGAGACAATGTGCATTGTGCACGTCAAAGAAACTGTATAGTTTGCTGCCTTTGTGATATAAAAAGAGGATTCATGAAGAGTTAAACACTATGTTTCCAGAGAGTTCCTCGCCTCTCTTACTAGTTATGTAGATACTACAGGGGGAAAGAAGAAAGGAAAAAAAAATTTTTTTTGATAAATTGAAATTCATTCATAATTGCAGATGTTCATAGTTTATATGGTCTCATCTGACTAATTTTTTCATCGCACTAATGACCAGCTGAACAATGCAGAGCGTGACATCTATTTTACTTATAATGGCACATTTCTTGATACAACATTGTAATTTATTTTACAGATACCCTATTTTAGTAATATAAAACATGTTGTTTACTGAATCTTATACTATTTTTATATAGCGAAACTGCACGAAAATATGTATCTAATAGAAGGCCTTAGTGTCTAAGATACAGGCTAGGCCTAGTTTGGACACTGATGTGCTGGGCATAATGCTACTCTTTATACACATATATTTCACTTTGAAATTTCTGTAAGCCCATGACTGTATATTTTTATGTGCAATAAATCTTTAATATTATTATTATTAACTTATGTTTTTTATTATGACGTAAACATATTACATAGCTTTCTATAACGTCATATCGCATCGGTCCTTTAAAAATAACTAAAGAGTTCTTTAATTTTTCTTTTAAAGAGTGTCAAATACATCTTGTTTGGTGCTCACCTCTTCTTCCTCCTCGTCCTGGTCGTATCTGTCGTCCCTGTACACTTCAGCGGGATAGTACCGGTCGGAGTACTTGAGAGACACGTTGGGTTTCCTCTGCACCTCCTCCTGGTTGATCGGCCGGTACAGGTAGTCGTTCACGAAGTGGTACTTCGCTGACTTCTGACAGATGTTATCGTGGGTCGGCGGCATACAGATTAAGTGTACCTGATGACATAAAGGGTATTATTTTTAGTTATATCTAATTTGTCTATGGCAATTAAATAGTCTATAATTCTATAATTATTGACATAATTATCTATATGCCATGACATACATAATATTATTATTTATTATTATTGTTTCAGCCGTTAACTGTCCACTGCTGAACATAAGCCTTTCCCATAAAAGTGTTTTGCCAATAGTCGCCATGCTTGGCAGGCGGGTTGGTAACCGCAGTTAGGCTTTTAGAGATGTCTTAACAGGGACGCTGCTGCCCATCGCTCCCCTCCCTTAGTCGCCTCTTACGACACCCACGTGAAAGGAAAGAGAGGTCTATTCTATGCCGGGACCACACGGCAAAATTAATGTAACATTGAGACAGGGTGGGAAAAGAATTGTTAGTAATGGAGACTGAGAATCCCATTGCTAGCAATATACCCAATCAGGTCGACGCGGTTCCCCCTGGAAACTATCATGATTAATTAATTGCTAATGAATTCATCATGGAAACTATCATGATTAATTAATTGCTAATGAATTCATCATGATGGCAACGCATGGGGAGTATCATGGGCGAAACAGTATACTCTGTTTTCATTCTCATCTACTTTCCAAGGTGGGCTGTCCTTGTTTGCCATTCTAAGTTGCATAAAAAAATTAAAGTCTACGTTTCAAAAGGTACAAAATGCAAACAAATTAGAATTAATGTTAATGAATAAAAAACAACATCGATACAGCTCCAGTTACGTCTATACCTTCAGTTATCATCAGTAATTATCATAAAGTTAATATTTAGTAGGTATATATACTAACCTGGTGGAAAGTGAACCCATCTGGGCAAATCCAAGAGTGCTTCACACTGTCCTGGCAGTAGTGGAACACCTCGCAGTTAAGCTCCTGGTCAGCATAGTACCCTGTCTGCTTGCCCACGCAGTCGAACTTGGATTGCTGCAGTAGCTGCGAGAGACGGTCGGGCTCTTCTTTCTCTTCTTCCAATTCGTCTTCTACTTCTTGCAGCTGCTGTTGGAGTTTTTGAGGGCGTTGTTCTTGTGGCTGAAATTAATTTAGAATTATAGTTAATATCTTTTTCTCAAACATGCTTGGAAATTTGAGCGTTATTTTGACAATCTTCTTCGAGATAAATCAAAATTGCCGTACTGGCCAGATATGCGGACAGCGGCCGGCAAAAGTTGTATGAAAATCCATATCTGTCGTGTTTTGCGGCCAGATAAATTACTATGTAAACTCATATCTGTCCTGTAATTTAAAAATGGAATGACCTTTTACTTCGAAACATGGCTGCCATGGAGGTAACTAATAAAAGGTTTTATTTAAATTTCGAACTGGCTTGCAAATAGAAAGCTGTTTATTGAAAAAAAAAAACAAAGGAACATTATAGCGCGTGAAATATTATTATTGTTCGTTATTCGTCATTGAACTTAAAAAGTAAAATTGTGTTTGTTTGTTACCATAATAAAACAAAAGACAAAGAAAAACTTAACTGATATAAACAAACTACCGGAATTAGCTATGTCATAATCGTGTAGACTGAAGGATGGATGGATGTATGGCATTGTGCAAATTAAAATACGATGTACCTACCGCTAATGAAATGAAATGTTTCTGCGTTCCAAATGACCAGTCATTATACATTATGATTATGAAATTATTATGAATCATATAGAAATATTGCAATTTCGATAGTATTCAACCTCATTTGTGTTACATGTAGCCATACGCAGGCTCGTATGAGTGTATGATTATCTATAATTTTTGCAGTACCGAATTAAAGCGATAGGCAAGATGACAATTGTGTGAAAGTGAAGTCAATCGCTGAAGTTTATTCGACGGCAGATGCAGGCAATCTAAATTTGTTTAACGCTTTCTCTTAACCTTTCTATTAGTATGTTTGCAAAGTTACAATTCACCTGTATACAAATATTTAGCTACAACTCGAATTCTAGATCAGTTGAAACCGCTCTAATTGTTTTTTTTTTTGTCAAATATCACTTTTTTTTTAAATACATCAATTACAATTCTATGTCGTGTAGGTCCTGGCATAGAATAGGACACCCCTTCCTTTCTCGTGGGTGTCGTAAGAGACGACTATGGGAGAATGAGGTATCCTCTATCCCATTCGTGTTTCAACCGTAAAGCAGTTGTGTTTACATGGCTGTGTTTCAGTTTGAAGGGTGGGACATCTCGCTGGAGCTGTACATATATAGCAACAGCTGAGGCGGCTCCTATTACCAGCAATATTAATTGTTCTTTTTTGTTGTTTTAATTTTTTATTTTCTTAATACTGGTAATAAAGGTTATCTATCTATCTATCTATTGAGAAGTTTTGCCAATAGCTGTCACGTTTGGTAAGCTGGTTTGGCAATCGCAGTTAGACTTTTGGTGATATTTTAAGTGGGATGTGCTCATCTCTACCATTAAGTTTGCTTAGTTGCCTCTTACATCCACGGGATAAAAATGGGGTGGCCAATTTTATGCAGAGACCACATGGCATTAAATTCTCATTGATGTATTTAAAATGATTTTCCAGGGTGACCTGGCCACTTAAAAAATAGTCCTAGTAATCTATGTAATTCTTTGTGAAGCTTTTTTAGTATCTGGTATCCCCCCCCCCCCCCACTTAAATACATCTATGATATATATATATATATATATATATATATATATATATATATATATATATATATATATATATATATATATATATATATATTATCGTATATCTAAACAAGACAGACGGGCATCACGAGTGCAGCAATACCATTCCATCTCGCAAAAAACAATTCCGTAAGCTAATAGCCAACTTTCTCTAGTTGGAGAGGTATTACAAGAAGTAGAATACTATGAGGTAACTACCTTCCTATGCGGTCTGGCTGGCCGCTGTTCCTCCACATACTGCTGCTGTGTAGGCCTGGCCGGGACCAAGGCCACGTACTCCTGCTGCTCCTGCTGCGGGCGCTGCTGGTAGCCGGCCAGCTCGGCTAGCGAGGGCGTCGGCCTGAAGCCAGTTGGCAACGTGTTGTAGGCAGTGGGGGTGTACGCCCTCGGTCTTAAATTCCGTGTTTCCTGTAATGAGTATTTATGTATATTAATATCGATAATATAGTTAATTTTTTTTTTAAATTCTTTATATCATATTTCTTTATTTGACCAATGATTGACTGGGAACACCATTCGATGTTAAGTCCGCCATATGTACATATATACACATTGTGCATTAATAAATAAAGAAATGTTTTTATCTCAGGCTTTAAAAACATAATTAGTTGTATTTTAATATTTTTTCGCTAAATTAAAATAATAAAAAGTAAGGGGAAAACAAATGTATTGATAGATACGTTATCGCTGTCGCATACATAGGACAGAACGAGACAGCAACGTCTGGTATATTTTAGTAAAGATATATCTACAAATTTGTATAATGAGTACATTAGATACTTCCGCAAATAGTATTCTTAATCTAAAATCGAAATTATATTCTTTTATACCATAGAAAGGTACTATCCTCAATCTATTTTGTATATAAAAAAATAAAACGCTTTTTAGGCCATAAGAATGAATACAAATTATGTATTATCTCTCATTAAGATATTTCATTTGTTCTCATTATAATGTTAGGTACACTAAGCAATAAATAATTATATTCTGAAACTGGTATATATAACATAAAGATAGTTTTATGTTAAATACAAAAAACATTATGAAATATTCTATTATCTGTTAAAAAGTTAGTCTACATTTATTCGTTCAATATAATAAATGAACTTCTATATTGGTTAATAGTGAGTTTACTTAACAAATTAATTGCAATTTGATTACTTAATGTTACAAAAATCTCTTGGGTCGAGAACGCCTATCAGATATAATATTATTGGACTAAGATATTTTTTAAATTAATTTCTTACATCATTTTATTCCTCTCTACTCGTACATCAAATTATATCTTACATAAAATTCTCCCTTAGAAATGCAGAAGTGTTTTTGTTTGTCTTTTTTTTTATTTATTTCAAGTTAGTAACAGTTACATAGACAGTATATATACTTAGTGCTGCGAAACTGCATTGCAGTTTGTCTGCAGCTTTGCGCTCATTGTACATACAGCTTTTTAAACAATTATAAACTTAAATCCTAATCCTATATACTAAACTTATATCTTTATACACACATATACACAGATATGCATATATACACATACATATACATACAGACACACATGCATATACTAAGTGGATGTTACTGGTATGTACACACACTAGTAACATCCACTTTTTCCACAACATTCACTATCCAAATTAAATCTAATACTGTTCTACATTTATTTATTTGTTACTTATTTATTTGTCATGGAATTTGTCTTACCCGTGGTATTTGATATAAAGAATCACAAATTAAAATTAGAAAACTGGCAAATTGAAAAATATATTATTATTTATATTGTTTAAATTTTTCATTGGAAATTAATTATCATTATGTTTTGCTTAATTAATTTTATTATTAATATTACTAAATTAATTAATAATTACCATACCATATAATTAATATTACCAGGTAATAATTTAAGACTTTTATCCTATTTTTAAACGGGCCACTCCTTCGTTTCCCATGGGTGTCGTAAGTGGCGAATATGGGAACTTAATGGTTGAGGAATAGGTAGTAGCGTCCCTTTTAATACATCACCAAAGCCTAAACTGTAAACAAGATATCGATTCATCTATTGAAAAGTGGTAACCGTCAACTACAAAATTATGGACATTACAGAATATACTGTGCTGCTTATAACACCTCTCATGCCTCATATGGCACGAGTACAGATACTGAAAATTAAAATGTCTCTTACATCAGATTTACACGATCAGCATTGCAAATTTATCTAACTTACAAACGTGAACATCAGGATTACACATAACACATATGAGGTGTCGATCCATGTGCGGATCCAAGATCAGAGTGTTTTTTCAATATAATATATAAATTTTATACAACGACACCTCAAACAAAGCCCTTAAATTTTTTTTTGCAACTTAGAATGACAAATAAACTTACGTCCCACCTGATGGAAAGTGGTAACCATCGCCTATAGACATGAGCAGTACCATGGACATAACAGAGTATACTGTTTCGCCCATGATCCCCCCCCCCATGCGTTGCCATTCCTGAGGACTAGGGTGTTATTCCTCTGTACCCTGTAAATTCACTGCCATATCCCACTCTTCAAACCGAAACACAACTGTGCAAACACAATTGCTTCACAGTAGAAACACGAATGGGACAGAGATGCCATAGGAAACGACTTTTGTACAGTCTCCCTCTGGTGATCAACACTCTGTTTAATATCCATTTAAAAGTTATTAAAATATTAATGAATTCTGTGTATTTATTATGATTTTAAACTTTCATGGTGATTCATTATTTCATTTGCATGATGACACTAAAAGGACTTGAATAATGAGATTTTTTAATTGACTAATTTGAATAAAACTGCCACATAGAAATCTCTTGTCATAGTGTACATCCAGTTCTATGATTCAACACATATGCAAATAATTAGCGTGGGTCTGAATAAAATTAACCTTTGCCATACCCGCCAATAAAATAAATATGCCATTTTAAACTTTCGTTAATTGGTAAAAAGGAATAAAATAAAATACGGGCCTACGGTAAAAAATTTACTAATAAGCTACTTTCAACTTTCACTATCTGCGGCCTTGCACGGACATTGACACTAAATAGTGTAGAAAAATTGCATCCGATCGGTTTGATTTTAGTTTTCGAACACGAGCCGCGCCGCGTCATCGATTTGGCGGGAAATGGTCTTCTTACGCAGTCCGAAAGTGCCGAAACGTGCACAAATTTATAAAGAAAGTTACCCATTTTAATTCAGTGTAATTTTAATTCAAATAAGTAGGTGTTACGTTAAACAAATAAGTTTCAGATATAAGAAATAATAGCTCTTACGCGTGTCTCCGACCGCGTGACCAGAATATGTTCACTGGCCGGAATTATTGATGGTAATGGAGTAATAAACTCCGCCTGCGCTAACTATATACGCTGGAGGGGCACCAGTGAGGGGTGTTAGGGGAGAATGAAAAAGCAAGTTAGCCCATCGTGATCAATACACCAAGAATTTAGCACGATGGTTTCCAGGGGCGACCACGTGGAGATCGATCTTATAGGGCATATTGCTAGCAATGGGACTGATAATCCGCATTACTAACAATCCCTTTCCCCCCACTGGCCAAAATAAAAAGTAGCCTATCTCCTTCTTCTTCCCATATAGAGCAATCCTTCTACAAATCTACATTCTCATGAATATTTGTAGAGTCTGGGGGCCTACCATGAAATGAAATGTTTTTGTTCGTACCTAAATCGACCCAGTAAATGAAGTTTAACGTTTCTTTCATCATAATTCCTATCCTAATAGTCCAGAGGAACAATATTTTAGTATTTTTAATAATTCTAAACGGCATGTATTATGTAATTTTAACATAAAATTTTTATGTCGTTCGTCCCCGAAATTTCGGAAAATATTTCATAGTAGGCCCTCTGATCAATGACTTACTCGTACGAAATGAAAGTAAACCATACTATTTGTCTATCTGTAAGCGCAGTCTATTTGGCAAATTGGCAAGTACGTACCTACAACACTTAGATCAACGAGATATTAAGTATCAACTGACATCGTTTCAATTTGTTATGCAGACCGACAGACACGCCACAGGTTGAATTAGTTTTTTAATTGCTTATATAATTTCTTTTTATTTTTTACTGCGTATATATATTTATTTATGGAATGTAGAATTTTATTTATAATTAATTATATTTCAAATTAGTTATGTATTTGTTTAAAATTCTCGATCATAATTTAAGAAAGAAATATGAATAATTATTGGCACGTAATTATGCAATATAACAAAGATCTAATTTTATACATGTATATATATATATATATATATTCACTCCACTGTCATTCACCTATTATATTATGGGCCTCCCCCATAAAGGGGGGTTTGCCAATAATTGTCACGCTTGACAGGCAGGTTGGCAACCGCAGTTAGGCTTTGGAGATGTTTTAAGTAGGACGCTGTTACCTATCCCTCGATCATTGAGTTTCCTTAGTCACCTCCTCAATACCCAAAAGCAGAAAGACTTCACGGCGATATTACTAAATAACAGTACTAAATTCACTTTGATATTATATTTACTTAAGTGTGTTGTTAAGCCATACGAATTATCTAAAGTCGGGTTAAATATACTTTAATTAACTTTGTATGTTAGCACACTACATTTATAAAAATGATTTGGCTTTTGCTGTTATAATGTTATAATTCGTTTTAATTAAAATAAATAAATAAATATGTGTCAATATTTTTCAAAGAGATTTCACGCCGGCTGGTAGAAATCTCTGGCGACCAGAAGGCTGGCCTATACTTTGCTCAACGCATTTCCATAGCTATTTAGCGTGAAAATGCGGCAAGTCTCCTAGGTACCCTACCAGCTGGCAGTGATCTTAAGGAAATTTTTTTATCTTTAATTCTTTAAATTTATTCCATTAGAAACATTTATTTAGATAGGTATCATGTATAAATATATAAATATCATGTGTCAATTATCTAAAATTCTGTATATATCGGTTTTTATTATACAATCATTTCATCACTATATCATTTCATCGCTGTATATACTTTTTTTTTTATACGCGTATGGTTTAATTTTGTCAATTAACTACATAAATTTCAATTATTGTATATATTTCGGCACTCGTTGTCTATTTTTTTATAATATAAAAAAATGTAACTATATTTTTTGTAATGACTGTACCAAAATAAAATTAAATTAAAAAAATAAAGCAACTACCTATATCTCTTACTCTTTATCAATACTTTTAAGGTACTTATAAATTTTGAATTGTTACTTATAATTTCGCCCTTATGTAATATTATGTAATCAGATAGTTGTTCATCCGAGGCAGTCACTTATCACTAATAATATCTTTTTGATTATATGTTTCGTAGATGATTCAAAAACATAATTAATCTGGGTGATTTTCAACAAGCGCGACTTCTGTCTAATTTCGGTGAATATTTTTTTATTTAGAATCTTCAGAAAATTTGTTATGATAGATAGATAGATAGATAATTTATTTACATTACTTACGGCACACAAATTACAATAAAAAAAAAAACATACACGTAATACACAGCAAAAAAGACAAAAGAATAAAAATAAAAAAGCACAAATAAAAAAAAAAATACAAAAACAAAATATATATAATTATGCCCCGAAAGTATTTTATAAAATGACTCGTTCAATATACCGTGGACATTAGCTTCGACTAAAAGATTGAAGTCATAGTTAAGAGGCCCATCGAAATTGTAACGGTTAGGTTCGTTACAATTTATCTATCATACACCCATCTATTTATCTATCCACTTGTACCTACCTCTTGGTCTAAGGCTAAATCTTCGTCGTCATCGTCAACGGCCGCATCTGGTATACCGTCGTCTTGTTCTGCGGCGAATACAACGCCTAATAATAGGAGGCCTATGAGAAACCGCCACCTGGAACAAACAAAATTAATATCCTATTAATATTTATATATATATAAACATAACGTAATGAACAGAAACAACCATGTAAACATAAAGTAATTATGTTTGCATGGTTGTTTCTGTTTGAAAGGAAGAATATGGCATTAAAATTACAGAATACGAAAGAATAATATTGGCAAAATACCCTAATATCGGGGTGAATGCCACTAAAGAAGAAGAAAAAAAAAGAATAACATCGTCATCCTCAGACATGGCAACACCTGAGTTGTAGGCATCGTAGTATGTTATGTGTCGTCTACGGTACAGTCAGTACTAGTATTGTGTTATATTATGTGACGGTATTGTATATCTATAGGCGACGGTTACCACTTTCCGTAAGTGGTCATAATCTCTAAACAGTTAAAGTCATCAGTCTACTTTTTAAAAATTAAAGTTTGTATTGTATGCAGGTTAGTAATTACTCATTAATTCACATTAAGATTAATTTATGAGTAATTTAATTCATTCAAATTCTTTGCAACTCTGCTCAATTATGGTCAACAGTTTAAAGACAAAATGGCGTCCGAACATTACATAATGGCGGGAATTTCTCCGAAATGCACGCATGCGCAGGGCAGTTACGTAATCAATGTAACACGGCAGTTTATTTAAATCAATGAAACTGGTAACAAGTGGAGCAACGAGATGCATCAGATGCAGAACTTGATTTAAAATGAGTTTGTTTAAAAATGTTTAAAAAAAAAAGCTTTTGTAGGTTTTAGGTGCCATTATTAGACTTTGGGGGCCACCATTGGCGTGTTTAAGTTTTTTTTTTCCATGGGGCTGGCTCCTTCAAACAGACGTATATGTATTCGCAAACATGTTATTGCGAATGGCTAAAATGGCTCCGCTCCCGAATCATGAAATATATTTATGTTGCTAGAATGTAGGTAGTTTTAGATGAAAGAAGTTTACATTTCCCGTATACATTCTGCTTCTATGTCGGCATACTCTCAGCAATAAGACCGCCTTACTGTACTTATACAATTGTATCGTTATATTTATTAATTGTCTTGCTTATTTCCTATATTGTATAATGCAAAACAAAGTATACTCATTCATATGTGTGTATATATTAATATATATATAACTAGTCTGGCCATAAATATTGTTACATAAAAACTTTTCTTTTTTTACTTTTTAATTATTTTGAAATTGGAACACGTTTATTATTTTAAAAACTTTTATTTCGCGCCATTTCACATATTTTTACGTGTTCATTATCAAATTACAATATGGAATGGGGTGTTAAAAAAAATAGGATTGCAGTGATCGCCTTGCACAAAGTGTCGGTCACATTCCAAATACTTCGGTATGTTTGTATATCGTACTATCAACAGATACAACAACACTTCCTCTGTCGAAGACCAGAAAAGATCGGCTATATTAAATTTATTAATCTACTTTTTAAAAATTAAAGTTTATATTGTATACAGGTTCGTAATCACTCTTTAATTCACATGAATACTAATTTATGAGTAATTTAATTCATTCAAATAAAATAAAAAAAGGCTTTTAATATTGTTAAAGCTAGAATTCGTCGTAACCCCATAAGGAAGCAAAAAATCTTATCGCGAGAAATGAAGATTTCCGCTAGGACTCTGTCGCGTATTATAAAACAGGACCTGAAGCTCGGTGCTTATGTCGTCGAGTCTCTTTAAAAAATCTTTGAAGCAAGCAGTGGCGAAATTTTCCTTTGAAACAGTGTCTAAATCCATAGATTCGTGGTCAGACAGATTAAATATTTCAATGGATCAAATAGAATATTTTTTTCCTGTTTGCTGAGACGTCAATAAATATGTAAGTATAAATTTTAGTAATATTATATTACTTCATAAAAAAATGCATTTTTATTTGTAACAGAACTAATGACTGAAATAGGTATATATATTCATATGTATGTATATTTGTATAATTATATAATAGTGCGCCACCTACCCTTTACCTTTTATCTCAATGTCCTCTACCCAAAGGTTGTCTGGAAGAGATTGATTAGCGATAAGGCTGCCTTACGTATCACTTCTCATTAAAATTAACTATATTTATTATTTTTTGTAAACAGTTCAATAAAGTATTTATTTATTTATTTATTCATTAGTACAAATATGTGTACATGGCGGACTTAATGCTAAAAGCATTCTCTCCCAGTCAACCGTAGGGAAGTGTCAGAATACTCGAATGCGGTACTACTAATTATTGATATACATACATACTAAAATTACATATATAAACGAATAAATATATATGAATAACTAATATACTTACACATATATGATATATACTATATTATACACGAAATTGGGAATAATATAAAGCACTTACTGCTCGGATAAAGATAAAAAGTGAGCATGAATTTTTTTTGAAAGACGGTTGAGTCGGTAGCCTCTTAATGGCATCAGGAAGCGCGTTCCAGAGTCGTGAAGAATGTAGGAGAAAAGAGTTTGAAGCGTAACCAGTACGGTGAGAGGGGAAAGATAGAGAGTATTAACGAGTTATTATCGATAGTAGAAGTATAAATAAATAAATTGCAAATTTTAAACGGTAAGATATTAAATACTAAAGCAAATTCAATAAAAGCTTGTAAAAAAGAATCCCATAAAACACTTATAATATGTCGTAAGCCGCATAAGTGTTACATTAATGTTGCTTTATGTGAACTTGCTTACGGAAACAAGTTTTTCGTACTCATATGCAATAAGCAGTTAGCACATTGAACTATTTATTATGTTATAATAATTGCATTATGGCAAAAAAATTACTGGGTACTGAATAGTAACACGACAGGTAACACCGTAGTATTCACTATATTATGATATAATTTAAAATACTTATATACGATAAGATCGCTCATTGTTTACTCATTGTGATCATTTCTTGTAATTGTTTGTATTTACAATAAGTTTACTATTGTCATCTTTTGGAGGAAACAATAAAGAGTATCTATTTATCTATTTATATTTAAATCCATTACTTTTAATTAATATACTTCGAAAAAAACATCCTTACTAATATTATAAATGTGAAAGTTAATTTGTTTGTTTGATTTAACAGCTTAACCAATCATTATGTATATATATATATATATATATATATATATATATATATATATATATATATATATATATATATATATATATATATATATATATATATAACTACTGAATCGATTTTGATACAATTTCTTTGGGACTAATCTAAGTAAGTCTATCAATTCAGATAAAAAAAAACAAACGAAATTGTTTCACAAAAAATCTTGAATCACGTCACAATTATTACGACACCAGCATTGGGGTACGTTTTAATATTTGAAAAGAGAATCGTAAATTTAGTTCAGAATTGAAAAAAGATATTGCGTGTCATGGACAGAAAAAAATACGTTCAAATTAAGAAACCGTTCCTTTTTTAAATTGATGAGAAAAAAAATACCATTTCTTTTACACGCCTGATGAATTTACTGGGTACAGAGGAATAACATCCGAGTAGGCGACGGTTACTACTTTCCATCAGGTGGGCCGTCAGCTGGTTTGCCATTCTAAGTTGTATAAAAAAAAATAATTCTCAGTAATATTATAATTAATTGTGATGAGAACTGTGGCACGTTATGCAACGTTCAGACGTGCATGTTTTTCATTATAGTGCCAATAAATTTTATGTCAGTGCATTGCAGTTGCAGCCGTCTGGTTATGGGTCGACAAGTAAGCGTAACTCCCGGGCGTGGTCGAATATCTTTAAGATGTTATCTCGTTATATAAGATACACTGGAATGAGATATATGTTGACGTGTAAGATTAGGAATTAACGATTAAAAAGAACTAGCGCTTTGCCCTGGTTTCGCATAAATGGGATATAATATAGGTATAGTCTATGCTAGTCGCTGATAATGTAGCTTAAAAGGTGTATTATAAATAGGTTACACTCGTATATAGGTATATCTATAGTATATACTTTTTAATTTCTATTCTATATATTACCTATTATATTCTATTTTTTATATATTACCTACAAATAAACTTACAAATGATCACATCTTTTTTTTTTCTTATACCACTGTGGTGACAAAATAGCATACGGCCCACCTAATGGTAATCGGTCATCGTAGCCTATGACCGGCTGCAACACCAGGGGTATAACGCGTGCGTTGCCTACCCTGAAGAAACCTCTTTACCCCCCCCCCCCTTTGAAGAACCCCATGCTGTAAGCTTATGCCATAAATATGCCATAAAAATAGTGTTCGTAGAAGATAACATCTCTGAAACCGCGTTGTACGCGACCATTTAAGCTGTAGGGTACGAGGTTCCTCTATATTTGTATAGATTGTAGTAAATTGAAACTGTTTAATAACAAATTAAGATTATATAATAAATAAAATAAAATAAATAATAAAGGGTATTTATGTACTGTAGCGAATAATATAATATTATATATTTACCAGAGGGAGACTTTGTACAAAAGTCGATTGCTTGGGTACCTCTGTCCCATTCGTGTTTCAACCGTAAAGCAGTTGTGTTTGCATAGCTGTGTTTCGGTTTGAAGGGTGGGATCTAGCGTGAATTTACTGGGCACGGAGGAATAACACCTGAGTCAACGCATGAGGGGTATCATGGGCGAAACAGTATACTCTGTTATGTGCATGGTACTGCTCATGTCTATAGGCGACGGTTACCACTTTCCATCAGGTGGGCCGTCAGCTTGTATGCCATTCTAAGTTGGATAAATAAAAAATTATGTAACATAATTATTAACAATCAAAAGTAGAAGAGACGCGTTAATGTCTTTTGTACGAAACTCGCTTCCTCAATATTTTAACGCATATTACCGGCAGCTATTTGACACATTTGTTTACATATTCGTATTATACTAGCTTTTACCTGCGACTTTGTACATGTAACTCGAATATATTCATTAACCGGAATAAAATGTAGCCTATACCCTTCTTCATCCCATATTGTACGTTTGTACCAAATTTCATA